AGGAATACTGAACATTTTTCATAATACTGACAAACATTTCTAAGCATATATTTCCCCTGTGATTTCACTTTCTTTGTCCAGCCAATTATACATGTCAAATGTCATCACAATCTAATACGATGCACTATTTAGATTATCTCTCTATCACTGCATAAGAGTTATTAGATAAGAAAAGTAATTAGATTGTGATTCTTTTACTCCATTATGAGACATGACCAACTATAAGCCGAGGGTGATTTCTCTGACCAAGACTCCGGGTCAAACATTTGGCTTCTATCTGAGAGTGGAGCAAAATGAAGAAGGTCATCTGATCCGCTGCCTGGAAATGGGAGGCCCAGCTGAACTGGCTGGCATGAAAGACGGAGACCGCATCCTTCGGGTCAATGGAACATTTGTTGATGGGTTGTCCCACTCAGAGGTGAGCAGGCCTTCAGAGGCACAGCAGTGCATTAATCAAATCGATAATGAGTCCGACTCATTTTCTGTTTTTTTTTTTTTGTTGTTTGTTTTTTTCTGAACTACTCCGTTTTCCTTTTTTCAGGTGGTGGAGCTGGCGAAGAACAGTGGGGCATCCGTCACATTCCACATCCTGGATGAATCATCTTACAAGCAAGCAAAAGCTTTGGGGGTGAACCTTTCTGATCCCCAACTCACACCAGTGGCCAATGGAGCGGACAAAGAGCCTCCAAAACCCAAACTGTGCTACTTGGTCAAGACTAACGCGGAATTAGGGTTTTCTCTTACCTCTGTAAGAGGTAAGATATGGAACAGCATTTACACCACCGAAGATTACATGGTTTGACAATCCTCATAATATGATATCATTGTTCCCTGCTGCAGTATAGTTTTATAGACTGAACATTTAGAAGAGAAAAATCCAGCATTTCATCTGAATATGTGTTCATTTAGGTGAGGATTTTTGTATTTCTTTCGAAATCACCTACGCCTCACACATTTACGCCTCTAATTTCTAGAAATTAAATCTCACTGAAGACTTTTTTTTTGTCTACCTCTAATTTCTGAGTTGATCTGAGTTTTTGTAAACTTTAAATTAGTAATCTATAATTAGATAAAATGTGAAAATAAAACCATTTTAACTGGCCACTAAGCAGGTTAAAAATCCAAGTTTATATTGGCATCACACATTTTTCACAGAATGTAGAAAACTGCAACAAAACGATGTCCAGGTTTTCATAACAACCAGTTTTTTACCAAAACCCCTAGGATGTTATTCAAGGTAATCCTCAGAAACACCAGACTTTAAATAAAACAATTTAATGTTTTATACTGAGTTAATATTGTCTAATTAAGGTTGTATATTCTAAAATGTTCTGCTTACTTCTGCAATTGCAGATAAATTTATATTAAGGTTATTTCATATCTTTATGAGGGTTCCTAATAAGTAAGATGTAAAATGCATAAAAGTCTCCCAAAACCTACTTTCTTTGACAGTTATTTTCTAGATCTGATCAACTGTAACATCATCTTCACTCTGGGTGGAAACATGACAGCCAATAGTCTCTTGGTTTCTGTGAGAACAACTTTTATTGAAGGATAGAAAGTCATGAAGGTCTCTCAACTTAAAGGAGAGGAACTTGTTCTAAACTTTACCAGTACAAAGCCACTGAATGAAAGAACAAGACTAGTTAATTTCACCATCATTTGTGAGCGGAATATTGTTAAATTAGTATTTCAAGCTCCTTCAAGATTTTGCAGAGGTTTTGCTGTAGTGCTGATGGAGCTTTATGTTACCTAGTAACAGAGCTAGATGGACTCTGATTGGTTAAAACTAAGTACCTTTACATGATACTGGAAATCCCAATAACACCTCCTAGTTTTCAGTTCCAGATAGTTTATTTCTTTATTATTGTTACATCTAGTTGTAAATATAAAAACTTGATTAGCCTGCCTTCGAGAGATGAGTAAAACATGTGCAAGAGAAGACAACCTTGGATTTGGTGTGACTAAATATACTGTATGGTTGTTTTCTAATTTGTATAGTTCTATAGATTTTCAACTTTGTTCAGACACAATAATTTAAAAAAAAACATATAAAAATGTATGATTGCAGACCTTTAAAATACTTCTTTTTTTTCTGATGTGCTTTTACGATGTCACCAAATGGCTTTTTTAGATCTGAAGCAGAAGCCCCACTGTTTCTTCAAGCAAATAAGAAATGCTTTTCATGTGATTTCATCCATGCATCAATCTATTTTGTCTGTTTCACCAGGAGTACCAGGATTGTTCATGACTCAGGTGGACTCAGGCAAAATAGCCTACAACGCTGGAGTCAGAAATGAAGATCGTCTTCTGGAGGTTAACGGGGAGAACGTAGAAAACTACACGCATGACGAAGTGGTGAAAAAAATCAAACTGGGAGGGAAAAACTTCATGTTCCTGCTTGTTGACAAGGAAACAGACAGTTTCTATCGCAACAAACAAATCAAAATAGGATCACAGTTAGCAACAGTAAAGTTTCTCCCACTGCAACCGCGCATCATCAAAATGAAAAAAGGGTTTGATGGATATGGATTCATGCTCAGACAGGAACCAGGCCAACCAGGCAAGGCCAAAAATTAACCCTGTACGTTTCACTGCAGAGAAGGTGTTGTGGTTTAACAACATGCTCCATGATATCTTGCAGGACACTTCCTAAGTAAAATAGAAAGAAATAGTCCTGCAGACAGAGCTGGCCTGAGGGAAATGGACAGACTTGTTGCTGTCAATGGAAAGGATGTGGACAACTGCAGCCATGTCGAGGTGGTGGACTGGATCACGCAATGTGGCAACAAATGTTTCTTCCTTGTGGTGGACCAACTCACGGACCAAATGTACAAGCAGGTGAGCCACAGACTCACTTTAGTCTTTCTAGTTCTACTTACAATGCTGACAACATGCTAATATAATCATGTTTTATGTCTCGCAGGGTAAGGTGAATCCCATGCTTTTCTGGGAGGAGATGAAAGATTCCAACTCCCCACCCAGTTACACTGAAGCTTTGACCTTACCTGCTCCTGGCCAAACATCCATGCCTGTAAGAGACAAAACAGAGGAACTGAGACCAAAACTGTGCAGAATGGAGAAGACCTCAGCCGGCTTTGGTTTTCACCTAAATGGCATTGACGGGCTGCTTGGCCAGTACATCTCAGAGGTAAGATCAACAAGAACAACCACTGTCTGAGGAAGACTACTCTACAAGAACCTGGTAAAAGTCACCTCTTTTCAGGTGGTGAAAGGCGGTGTGGCAGACAGGGCTGGTCTGAAGAACAATGACATTGTGATAGAGGTGAACGGTGAGAATGTGGAGCAGAGCACCCATGCTGAGGTGGTGAACATAATCCGAAGAAGTGGCGACACTCTGGAGATGCTGGTGGCTAGCCAGGATGTCTACAAACAGCTCAAACCCACAGGTGTGAAGACCACAAGCCTTCTCCTTGGGAAAACATCCAAGGGGATGTTTGCTTCTGGAGCTGCAGAGTCTCCAGAAGCAAACAGGAAAGAGGAACAGCAGCAGCAGAAGGAAGTCAGGCCTGAAACTCCACCTCAACAGGAAAGACAGAGGGTGAGTCACACTAGTTAGTAATATTTCTAACTAGCATAGTTTTAAATGTGACTGTTCTGATCCATAGTTAAGCTCATGAATAGAATATCCTGGGATATGTTGTGCAAATTATCACAGTATCAAATCAATGAATGATTAACTACTAATTGTGAACAATTAGAACATAATTTCAACTAATATGTCCCTTGACATTCAAAAAATATAATCTAAATCATGCTACAGTAAATGTATATGATTACCTCTAAAGTCCTGTAATATTTCTCCCATTTTATAATTGTGTTACTTTGTGTTGGTTCATCACTGAAAATCCAAATATAAAACACTGAAGTTTGTGATTATGTGGCAAGAGGGCTATGAACATCTTTGAGCACAGTACTGGATGATTACAATAATTTTAAATATTACCCTTCACTGAAAGATCATTGCCTTTGTTATTAAATAACACTAAACGACTGCACAATTTGGGTCACATTGTTTGGCTGGCATAAGAATGGCAATGAAAGCTGCCAGTATATTGAAAGTATTTGATGTTGCAGTACAAAAAAACTGTATCTGAATAAAGCTACAACTAAAAAATGTTTCAGGTGATAGAGAAAAGCATTTCAAGTTTAATGCAATCCAATTACCTACTTACGGCTTTCATTCGGGTTCAGCTGAATTATATCAAACAAAAACGTTGTCTTACTTTCTGTTCTTACTTTTAGACGTCCTCTGTGTCATCAGCTTCGTCTGAAGACGGCATCGACGAGAGACTCTGAAAGGACGCCCGTAGGAACAAATCCTAGATGTGGCCAAGTGTGAAGAGCTTCTTTTTAAAGCTCTCTGAGCTTCACATATTCCAGTGACATACATTAAGAAAGATGACGACAACTAAATAATACTAATAATTAGAGCACTAGGAATGAGAAATTACCCACAAAAATTGATTCATAGCAGAATAGCTGTTCCTGGAGCTTACAGCAGAAAAACATTTGGTGCCTTTAAGAAAAACCTCATTGCTCTCCATATTCACTGAAACCTCAAGGAGGTGATTAACCAAAAGAAAAAATACAACTTTAACTTGCATGCATGGACTATATTCATTCTCATAACACAGACAATGGCTGCAAGAAAATGGCTACTAAACAAGTCGACAGCTACAGTCAAAGCTTAAAATAGATGGAGCTGTGACAAACAAAAGCTTGAAGAAACCAAATGTTCTTTTACCATTACACCCAGAAAAAAGGACCACAAAGAAAGTAAGAAAAAAAAAAAGGTTTGTAATTATCTACTGAAATAAGATAACACTTTAACCAATTTTACAGATTTTTACCAGAAGTGCCAATAAATGTTGAGGGTGCCTTATTGTTGTGATCGAAACTTGTATTGATATCTCTTTTGCAAACCTGAGATAATCATTCTCAACATAATTTAAAATCAGCTCCATATGCAGTAAGCATGTATTTTCTTTCCTTTATTTAATGTTTTGACATAAAGGTTCAAATTTCTTACATAAAATAAAAAAAAATCAACACATTCCATCTGAGTTAAGGCTGGCTTTGAGTGCCTGCTTTCTTCCAAAATTGAATAAATCTGAACATTAAAACAAACAAAAAATCACAGTGGGAAAACCTGCAGTGAAACAAGAAATGTGTGTTGTTTCAACCAGTGTGTTAAAACATAAAGATAAAAAGAATTAACCAAAATTAACACCAACAAAAAAAAACCTATTTGTTTCATTCGAATGATTTTCTGTAAATACTGTTTTCATGAGAGTCCAGTTGCAAAGTTCCTTCAGCACATGCTCCAATAGTCACCCTAAGAAAGGGTTTTTTTTGTTTGTTTGTTTTTTCCCTGATTCAGGAGTAAATGCCTCAAAAATGATTTCTGTACTTCTCAGAACTGCAGAGTAAAATTCAGCCCACGCATCAGTCAAGGCGAAACACACCACAGGTGTTCAGAGGGCCATGTGTTTTTCTGGTGCCTGCTTGTGGGCGAGGTAAAGGAAAAGGATGCTGGACAGAGCGCTGACCAAGAAGATGACGTCAAACCAGCGGTGGTAGAAGTTGAACTGGAGCTCTCCCAGAACCTCTGTCACGATGGAGCGGTACTCCAGTGGCATGCTCATGCGCATCAGCAGCACAGATGAAACAAAATACATCCCCTGATAGATTGAGATGAAAATAAAAGATAGATTCAAACTTAACTCAAAGGTGCAGGAAGTACTCTACTTTGAAGAAACACACACTCACCATGATCTGAGCGAGGACAAGCACGATGACATTGGAAGATTTGCTGCTTGATATTGCGTAGAAGAACTAAAATAAAATGAAGGTGACAATATTCAGAAGAAGGAAACTGAAAAACTAATTTTCAAGAAAGAAAATGTGCATATGTGTTAAATTGATACATAGTCTGGAGTTGACAAATATTTGGCCTCAGTTAAAACTTGATAAACTGCAGGTTAGAGGTTTTAGTCTGAATCTAAGTGTGCACATTTTAATTAATGGACCATCATTACCTTTGTAAGTGTGATAAGCAAACCTCGTATGGAAGTGACAATTATTATTCCAACCAGGATGAAAGAAATATGCTGGGACCAAAATTTCACCTGGAACACAGAAAAGAGGAGAAAACAGAATGAAGGCCAAAATCTTTGGAGTTTTAGATCGCTCCCTTTGAACGTGAACCTCTTGAACTATGTTTAACAACTGCTTTTATGTGAACATACTGAACATGACTAGCACATGGTTAACTGCAGAGACAACAAGGCAGAGAATTATCTTTACAAGCGGTCATTCCAGGTGAGCTTGGAGGATAACTTGGAGACAAACAAATTTCAGAAGAGTAAATCATTACACGTATTTGTAAGCTAAAATTCAGGGTTGATTTCAAGATTAAAGAAGCAGTGGTTGCAGAGAGGATGGAATAAATTCATTTAGTGACTGAAAGCAATAGAAAAGCTCTCAGAAATAATGAATTCAGGTGTGTTTCTTACATCAAACTGGATGCCCAAGTAGTTCACTGTTATTTCGATACCCCTCGTCACCGGATCCGTCTTTCCAACTCGATCAAACACTATGTTTATCGTTGCCTGTACATGAAAGAAAGGTTTGAGAGTAAAATCAGTGACAACACACCTTTTAAAGAAAACATATCAACCAGCAGTAAGTGATGTGAAAGTTTATGTGAGATATAAAATACTAATGCAGTGTTCCTACCATGAAGATTTTCCAAACACAATAGATGGAAAAGAAGTAACCAAGAAAGTTGAAGTATTTCCCCTGGAAGGTCTTTGAGTACTCAATTCGCTCCTAAAGAAAAAAAAAAGACAAATCACTCCCCGCACAGTGCTATGTGTGCAGCCACAGTTAACGCTGTATTTGAACATGTGTAAACAAATATGATAGTAAAGAGGTAAACCAGCCCTTAAGTGCTTTAAAGGTTGGTTGGCCTCAGTTAGAAGCATAGTCATTGCAGGCACTTTTTCCATTAATGCACCTAATTTATTTTCCATTGGAGAATAAGGGCAGCTGTCCTGATAATTGAGCTAAATAAAAAAAAAATATAGTGGTGCATACTGTCTTTCCTGATTTCAAACAAGGTAAAATTACATAAAAGCAGGACAGCAAAACATGAATTACTTAGGCAAGATAATCTGCATGTTCAGCAAATCCCAGTTGTTTAGTCCTATTTGCTTCTAATACGAGATGTATAGATAATACTCAGGCACACATTTGTTTACCTTGGTTGCTTGCAGATCCACTGTCTCCAGGAAGAGTTGTCGACTCAACTCCTCCAAAGCATCAACTTCCTGCTGGATCAAAGACAAATCTACAGCCAGGAAGTCAGGGATCACAGCAGCTAATATTCATCACAGAAATCTAAAATATAGAAATGCTTGCATCCAAGCATGAAGGATACTTTCACTGCCTGTTTGTGTAGAGGTGACACTCTTGATCATGCCCCAGAAACCAGTCTGTTTGTTTTGGTCCTCCCCTCGTTGGTACATCTGCCTCCTCGTCATGGCGATTCTTGATAGACAAATGAAAGTGTTATTTTACTTTTTGCAGAAAAAGAAAATGGTTTGAAGATTAAGATGGGTGTAGGGTCATTAATCCAACCGTTTCTTTTTGCTGACAATCATATCCATGGTTTGGAGAAGCCGCCTCTCCAGAGCAAGAATGTCACTATCTGTTACATTTCTGTGAAAACAACAAAAACTAACTGTGAAGACACACTGCCACCTTCTGCTTGAATACTGCAAAGAAACAGCCGATGGGCCTGACCTGAGGAAATAGGACATATATGTGTATGGACAGTTGACGGCACCAAACCCTGAGAGGAGAGCCATAAGAGTGACTCCGATCACACCGACACGACTGATGAGTTGCTCGATGGACAGAATCCCTGCACAAAATCAATCAGAAAGAGACATTAAACAGCAACAGATCAGGTGAATAATGGTGCGGAACCTTGCAAATGTCGTCTTTTACATTTTGCCACATTAGAAATGCAAAACAAAAACACAATGTATTTTAATGAGATTTTATGTGACAGACCAACACAAGTATCACATAGCTATGAAATGGGAGGAAAACAATCCATTGTTTTAAAATGTTTTTCTTTTTGTATTATCTGTTTCCAAAACAAATATTTGAAATGTATGAAGTACAATCTGTGGATTGTAGAAACATCTCTCTCTCCCTGCATTACAGATGCAAGTCTTTTGTGGCACTTCTGCCAGTTTTGACTGAAAACGTTCCCCAAATTCATTTTTGAAAATCCTCTACTGGCAGTCAGATTGGATGAAGTGTTTATGAACATAATTTTTCAGGTGTTCAAATATTTTAATTTAATCTATTCTGGTTCTTTGGATATATGTATAGAGCAGCTGTTCTGTTGCATAGTGAATCTGGGCAAAAAATGTAAAAATTTAAATAAAAAAAAGTGTACATACAAGAGCAATACACTTTCTGTTCCCTACATTACTTGAGGCAAACTCCAGGACATTCAATGACTTTCTTCTTGAGACTGCTATAAAGATGGTGTTTGTTCAGAAATGTTCTCTACCAAACCTCCAATGCCTTCAAAGAAAAGACGTATTTATGCCATATATAGTTGGCCTCTAAATCCAATTGGGTAAATATAACACCAGATTTCAATTATTATTTCAGAAAAAATATATATGTTTCCTTTCCCTTCCATATCTCATGTATGCACTTCTTTATGTGTACTTATGACATGAACTCCACTGAAGTTCCTTAGAAAATGTGAAAAATCCTAAAAGGATGTGAATACTTTAGCATGACGCTAACATGGTATGAAATGCAACATTTTGATGAAGCCTCGTTTACTCACCATGTTTTGGACTCAAGATTGGGAATGGATCTCCTAACTTCCAGAAGAAATACATGAAGGTAAACCAAACCATACAGGCAAAAAGGAGTCTTTGCCTCTGCACTGATAAGACAACAAGTGAATAGTTCCCCATGAGAACAGCACCTCCAAATGTTTGGTCCTAAAAGCTGTTTCTTTTTATTTATTTTTTGAACTTACATAGTCGTATGTTGCTGACAACAAAGTAACCGATATAAAAAGGCACCACAAAGATTAGAACCAGCAGAATCACATACAGATTCAACTTCCAGTGGAAATATCTGGAGCTGGGACAAAACGTAATGATTAACAAATTGCATTTTTTTTTTTACAAATATATTTCTGAACAGCAAATATCACTTACGTGCTGCTTAAGGCCCCAAGAATCTCAAAAATAATAAGCTCGAACATTGTACAGGAAAATGCAAAGGTGACAGAAAAAACCACCTGGACAACATACTGTCGCACCTGAAAACAAAAACACAGTCTGACTGTAAAACATGTACAAGTCTGCTAAAGAAGACAAACCTCTAACATCTGTAACTGTTGTGTTTCTTTTTATTAGAATCAATAAGCTATGTCTTAAGGAAATACCAGTTGTATTTCAGACATAAACCACTAAAGCTGCAAATGGAACAAGCCTTACCTCATAATCTTTGAACAGCTGCCGCATAAAGAACAACCAACCAAACCCAAAAAACAGCACCTGGGCGAAATATGCAAAAAAATAACTATTTGATAGAAAGTACAAAGACACACAGTCACTTCATATAGGAAGTAGATTGAAAAACCTTATGGACATCATTTTTTCTACAATATGGTCTCATTTCTTAATAACTGATACATGGCAAGTTGATAAATATGCACAAACACAAAATCATAATATGCATATAATGGAGCTGGTAAAAACACTTTTAATACGTACATTATACAATTTTACTTATGAGGAACTGAGCATAAATCATCTTGAAATATCTTAGAAGAACTGGTCGCATGTCCTGAAAGTCTAAGTTACCTACAGATTTAGACTGTAGGTAACTTATTTTGGTCATACTTTACCTGAGAGGTGAACATGATGACTGAGTCCACCAGGAACGACATGATGACGTGAGCTAAACAACCTCAAACACTTGGAAAAACCCCACAGCTGCAAGATTACTTCATTTTAACCCCGAGGACAAAAACACCGTGTTTCTTTAGAGCGAACCGTGTGTTATGTGCCTAACATTTTGACAACACTTTTTTAGCTGTCAAGCTACAACACAAGTCGTCACCAACATACTTCCGTCTCAGGAATATTACGTCATCCGCCATTCAAAGTGAGAAAAACAAATAAAAAAGCTTAAGTCAGCAAAACAAAACAGGAAATAAAACATTATTATTATCATTTGTAATTTTAAAACGGTCATAGAAGAATAGTCTTGGTAAAATATGTTAATATTGCCGCCATGTTGTGAGTGCAATTGTTCCCCAGATATCTTTATCTATGCATAGGTTTTAAATTAATCATTTATTTTATACATTTTATTTTTATGCTAAATTCAGAACTATTTTACGCACATCCGTTTAAAATTGGTTGTGCGTAAAATCTGCAAATTTCTTATTTTGATTTGCAGATTTATTTATTTATTTATTTATTTATTTTTGCCTAAAATATCAACATATGCAATACTGGCACGAACATGTATAAATATTAAACTATTATTAAAATTATCTGAGTGCAAACTTTCTTCAGTCGTAAAAACGGAGTCTATTATCCTTTATTTTCAAACAGTTGCCACTCACAATATGGCGGAAGAACCATTAATCACAGCAATTATTTTTATTTTTTTTATGGTTTTAACCTTTTTTCTCCAAAGTAAAACAACAAACAAAAATATTTAAATTCCCTTTATTTTATTTATTTTTTGTATTTTTAAATTACAACACAAATCTCAAAAGTAAACTAAGCTGAATAGGATTTACTATTTTGATCATTAAGTATATTTCTTTATTTTAATATCTTACCAGCTTTGCATATATGTATATTTTAAAACTAAAATAAATAAATAGATAAACAAATAAATACAATTTTTCGAATTTATTTGAGTTCGAAATGTTATATCTGCCAGAAATGTATGTGCCAGGGCACCAGAGGGCGCCATGGAACCAAAACATCAGCCCTCATCACGGACTGCATTTAATTTGTGCAGAGCTCCTTCAGTGTTCATTGCTGCCTGCGGTCAGAGGATCAGTCCGACGGGAGCGCAGCAACAAAGCATTTGGAGGAGCAGAAAATACCTCATGCCGATGGTGGATTATAAGGATGCAGGAGATGATGCAGAGGTAGACCAGCTTAAGCTGTTGGCTTTTCACATTTATAACAAGAGGCATAAGGTGAGTTTCTCTGTTAACTGATGAGATACAACTTGTAGAAGAAATGATTGCGAACTGATTTGTTCTCTTGATTGATAAAGAACTAAAAGTTTTTAGTCTGGCAGCTTTTTGTTTAGTTTATCTCATATTTCAAAATGTGATTAAAATGTTGGGAGTTGAGAAAAAAATATGCTAGACTTATAAATGCATTTTCTAAGTTTATTGAAGATTCTATTTTATGATGAACTAAAGTACAAATAATTGTGTTCCTGGAGGGAGATTTGATTTTAACCCCATTTATGTGCTCCTTGGTGGCTCAATTTACAATATTTCATATGAAACAATGCTAAGAGTGGTACTGGTGCATGGTATGAGCTTCACGGAAAAATAGGTAAGAAAGACTATCTAGAAAATATGTAACTTCACTTCAAATGAAATCAACAGAAAGGTGGATGCAACTTGGACCTTAGTAGTTGTTTCAAAACAACTGTGATTCTAAATACACAATGAAAACTGGTTTTGGAAAGGATCATGAACTGTAATAGCATGTAAAACCCCTAATGGCAACCCTGTGAAACATTCAATCTGGATCCAGAAACCAACTACTTCAAATGTGTTCCAGCACTTAACCAACAAACTCCTTCAAAAATTGATTAATGATTACAAAAAAATGTGTTCAGGTCATGATGAGACTTGAACAAATTTTCTTTCTTTCTATTTTTCCTCAGTGAGAACGATGATGATCCCTGTCACATGTAGAATAGTTCTGCAGGTGTCTTTTCTCCTCCTCTTAATTGGACAAACACATGGTGAGTAGGAGCATGCTAAGTCAAATCAATAAAATGCTGAAAAATAAAAACGCTACTTCTGTTTACTGTTTGCAAAATATTGACTTCAGGCAGAGTGACGGCGCCGGCACGTTTGAAAGCACCAGTGGACAAACCCTTTACACTGACCTGCACACTTTCGAAGGACCGTGGGGAAACTCTGAGGGAGGTCCGCTGGCTGGATGACAAGAATCAGACCCTGCTGAGCTACCAGCCAGGTAACAGAGACAGCCTGAGTGGACAGCAGCATGTGGAGCTCGCCACCTCACCAAAGGACTCCTCAGCAATCACCATTCGCAGGGTGGGCTTCCGTGACGAAGGCTGCTACACTTGCGTCTTTGAGCTGAGTCCTTCAGGTTCAAAGCAAGGACAGACGTGTCTCACTGTTGACGGTAAGAAAAATATTTATCATTATTTTTGAGTCTGATAAAGTTGGGCTGTCAAAAAGCAACTCAAGTATTTTGCATTTAGGATAAAATATATTCAAGTCTACACTGAAGTTGAGATAGCCACTGTTAGAGTTCAGATGGTAGGAGGAGATTATACTGTAGGGGAAAGGTAGAAGAGAATGGACAGAATAAGTTAACTCAATGGAGGAGCAATAGTTAATGGAGCTTTAGCTATCATAGAAATTCTCAACAAGTGAATTTGTGGATGCACAGGTGAAAGATTCATTAAGATACAAATATCAATTTACAAATAGTTACCACAATCTGAATATATATTTTAGTGTGAAGAAGTATTGCATGACTGCATCAGTACTGTAAGCACAGCTGAAAGCAGTTAAAAATGCATCAGAAAGATCCAGTGACTGAACCCTGTGTAACTCCATAATAAATTATCCCTTGCATCTCATTTGTTATTTACAGCTGATATGCAATCATGAGTTGTGCATTGATGCAACTCTTTTTGCAGTCACATAGATAACATTGTGCAGAAAGAAGAGTCATGAACTGGGTGTGTAAAACCTCCAGTTGAAACCTGAATGAGTTACAATCCCAGTGATAGTAAGAAGAGCAAGGTTGTCCTCTGTTTGGCACCGACAATATTCACGTGTATTTTAAAGACTCAGAGTGATAGATTTGTTGGGAAAGTCTTTTACAAAAGAGTAGCCAATATAAATGGGGGGATAAGTTGGCTGAAGACAGAGCTGTCAGAAGAGTGTCATAAAAGACAGTGGTCTGTATTCAGTCTTCATAGTTGCTGTCCCTGTTAACATTTCATCACTTGATTGATTTTGGATGCTTTCCCTTTTCCACTCAAGGCTTAAAACTGAAAATATGTGAATACACGTGTTCTCAACCACAGTTAACCTCTGACCAGAAACTGATGAGCGTGCTGAGACCGGGCCAGTCATGTTAATAAAGAGCTGTGCAGCAGTGGGAGAAGGGGAGCTTAAGCTCCTAAGCAAAAACAGCTGGGCGAGATTCCACTGAGTGGTTTCTGTTTGGGTACCTCATATTCTCAATATTAACATTCTCCTTTATGCACCCCGTGTCTCCCAGTTATGTTTATTATTTTTTCTGCCCTCAATCGAGCCTTTTGTATTTCATTCCCAGCCGAAGTCACATCTGAGAGAAACAAAACAGCAGTGAGTGGCAAGAAGGCATCCCTGTCATGCTCCTTTGGTTTGCCCGAAAAGGTGCAGCAGATACTGTGGAAGCACACGCCTACTCAAGGCGAATCAACTGAGGTGGCCTCTTTTGCAAAACGGAGCGACCCCATGATTGAGCCAGCTTATCAGGGGAGAGTCTGGCTCTCTGCTTCTCTGTCAGACAGTCAGCTTACGATTCAGCCTGTTGCCATCCAGGATGAGGGTTGCTACACCTGTTTCTACGAGACGCACACTGAGGGGACAAAGAGCTCTGTGGTCTGTCTCTCTACCTACGGTAAATATCTGCTCTTCAAGTTCGCTTTTATCCATCCGCATAACCAGTTTAACAATGCAACATTAGGTAAAAACATTTATTTTCCCGTCCTTTATCAAGTTCCAAGAACTGAAAAATAATTTTCTAAATAAATATGCAGCAAATATTTACATTAATAAGTCCTCTTAAGCACATTTGGGATTTGTCCTAAAAAGTAGAAACTGAGTTACGTTGGTTGCTAAGATAGACTTTTCATTCTAAAGTCACTTACATTTGAATAAACATCCTTTTAAGTTAAGTAGAAAAACATGACAAATAAGAAATGTGACAAAAAGAAACAAATATGTTCCATATTTCTAAATTGAGTCATTGGAGTCAAATTATTTATTGCAATTATATTGCTGATACTAAGTAAAGCAGGGCTTCTTTACTTTGACACAGTTTCTGATACAATAGTTTGCAAAACTGTATGTTTCTTCATTCAACTATTGCAATCTCCTTCCGTCTCAGTCACATTTACCTTTCACACAATAACTGAAACACATAGTCTTAGGATTTTACAACAATATCTTATGTTTTTCTAACTAAGGCACTAGATAAAGATAAATTTTAAGGTTTGGTGGCATTATAAAGTACCTTTTTGGCACTAGGAACAACTTTTTTTTATAAACTTACTCAGCTAACTCACACATATGTTGGATAATTTATATTTTCAGTGGTGGGAGCTAAATCCACTTATCCCAACACAGTTTTCTTCATCATTTGCTGCTTTATTTTATTGTTATTTAAAATTAAATTTTCAAGTGGAGAAGTTTTCACTGAACCTGAGAAGTAAGGATTGACTGCTAGTTTCAGATTGTGGTGGCAGGAAAGGAAAGCAGATTTATTAATCTTCTCTTCCTTCTCAATGCAAGATGCTTTAATGATGCAGCAGCGAGACCAGAGTTCTCTAGTCCTGCTTGCATACAAACACTGAACAATAATGTCGACGTGCAGAATGGAGCATTCGAAAGAATGATGGAGGCAGTGAGTGACGTCCTGATGCATGACTGTGTCAGTGTTCGCCGCACACAGTGATTTCCTCTGTGCTTTGTCTGCCTCTCCTTTGTCCTCTTTTGGATTTCAACTTTTCTCCCGTTCCCATTCGCTTTTATTAGTTTCAGAGAACAAATGTGCTTTTGTTTGAAACTGAAATGTACAGTACAGTATTTTTAAATTATTTATTTTACTTATGACTGTGCATGATTAACATTTTTATTTTTTTGTTCCTGCTCCCTATTTCTGCCAATATTCTTGTTGGATTCTCTCCACATTGGATGACATAATGACCTCTGATGTTTTTTCCCCCAACTTTCAAACAGTCTGTGAACAGCGATGACCAAAACAAACACAAATCTAACATTAATCATCTTGTGGTGACAGCTCGAACCTGAACCCCTGAAGCCTGGAAATTACAACCAGATCCAAAAATACTGACACAAAAGCTTTGGGTTTTATAGTGAATATTTGGACACAAAGTACAAATATTTCAGCCTGTAAAAAACATTCAAAAGTTTTAGTTTTAACATTGAGCCCTAGAGATAGTAGGACATATAATTTTAAATCTTCCATTCACAATTCATGTGCACTTGCTGATCTACAGTCCAGCATTCATACAAATAATAAATTGTGATGTTGCGCTGAAGGCTCACTGTTGAAAAGAGCTGGAGCTTTTTAAAGAGACATGGGCCCAATTTGAAGTCGTTAAATAGCAAATTGAAATGTCTTTTAAGTCATGTTTCATACATACAGCATTTTTATAACAACTGAAAGTGATTTAATTGCATTATGTGTGTGGAAAGTGCAAAATGCAGCCTTTTTAATCCTTCCACTTACTGCTTCTGAAATTACTTCTTTGATTTCTGGGCGTTGAGCTTTGGAAAATTCTCTTGTTGGAAGATGAATCGCCACCCCGGCCTGATGTCCAAGTTTCACAGTATGTGTGGTGTAAGCCAAATAATAGGCAGGGCCTGTCTTAGACAGAATGTTTGAAGTTCAGGCCCAAATATCTTTGCTTTTTTTTTTATTGCAACAGAGTTCTGTTCTTCTGGTCTAACAATTTGAAATGTGTTGTGCGAAGTTCAAGCGAGCTACCATGACCATTTGTCCACTCTACCATAAAGGCCTTTGCAGTACATGACCAATGGTTGAGTGTCGGAAAGCAAAACACTGAACCTATGGCAAACTGATTATTGGGTTTTTTGGTCTCCTCTCTACTCCGAAATGTATTGGCATCTGTGAAACCTTATATAATGTGTGTTTCATTCCAGCTCTTGTTCAATCATAGAAACATGTTTTACGAGAACAAAATGAACCTGAGCTTAATTCTGAGTAACAAGGGAAAGGTTTTTCATAGTCACGCATGTGAAATTTTACTTATTGACTATATTTTGTATTAACCTTTTATTCATTCTGTCATTGTAGGGTTGAATTTTGCATGGGAAGAAATCTAATCAAGTTTGGCTAAAACATAAAAGGTTCAAAAATCGTTTTTATCAGACACTGTATGTGAGCATACTTAAATAAACTAATACGTGTCAACAATATACCATAATACAGTATTCATTATTGCATGTTAGCATTAGGTTTTTTATTTCTTTAAATTGTTTGCTGAAAAATGTAAACTGTGTATGTAGTGTAACATTAAAAACAATTTGATGGCAACATAATAGCCTTCCCTTAATAGTCAATATAATGTTATAATGCTTGGTTTATGATCTGAATTTTTAGTCCCGTTGTTCAAATCCACCCTCACAAACCGGTGCTATCCAGACCAAAGGTGGGAGAAGTTCCTCAGTCAGAATACTGAAAGGAATCTATAACCATGAGAGCCAAATAACTGTGGCTGAAAATGTTCTTGCCAAGAACAATCCTCTCCATTCCAGTGCGTCACATTCCTCACCCAGCCTCAAGAACAAAGAATTGAAAACAGTTTAAGATTTAGTGATGGATCTTAAGAAAACAGAAACTTGCATGCCTTGGTTAATTCAAGTTTTTATCCCAGGTATCATGTGTATGATATATAATCACAAACTATTCCAAGATATGAGTTTAGATAGTTAATTTGGCAAAACAATATATTTAGGGACATAGATCAAGTTCCTTTCTGTTGATGTTATTTTGTCTCAATACAATAGAACATTTCTCAAAGTTGAGAAAACCTTCATAGCATTTCCTCTCCTATTCTGACTTGGTTTCGTTGTCTTTTTTCAGTTCTTCCGAAACCTCAGGTGAGCTACAAGACCACTTCTCCAGGCGTGATCGAAGCCAACTGCACGTCTGTATCTCGGCCTCCGGCAGAGATTGTGTGGAATGTGGAGACCGACAACCGCACCATAGGCCCCCCTGTGAACGTGCATCTCCATCAGGAGGACGGGACCACTCTAGTCATCAGCACGCTGACCGTCCGATCAGGGCTGCTTAAAGATGTGTCTGTCAAATGCTTGGTGCATCACAAAGGGCTCGAGTCACCCATTGCTGTATCCATGAACACTAAGAGTAAGTTATCAATAAACAACTGCATCTTTTGTTTATGTTATGTCTTTTCTGCAGGTAATATCTTAATAAGTATCACCTTTTAAATGCAGTTTTATTGATTTAAATAAATGAATACATACTGTATGATTGCAGCAGAAAACTGCAGTGACGTTGCTTGGCTGCCTTTATTTCTGCTTCATCGGGCACAAAAACCATCTGAAATAATAATCCATTAAATTTGAATTTTAGGGGCTAAAATAGCAACACAGGTTAGTTCATTACACTCTGGTTAAACAAGATGAAAATGAGAGTTTAGCTTTATGATCATGTAAACTCTTGCAGGAGTTCATATTATTGCAGTGACTGATAACAGCAACCTTGTCCCCCATCAGTCCTAAATCTTGTTTAGGATCAAAGTTTTGAAATGTTTTAGTTTAGATCTTCCTACTAAGAACTTCTGAACCGGTTGCTTCTTTAAAAAAAATATATGTCAAAGTACTTTTTAAATCTGACAGTATCCAAACAAATTGATATCCGATAATAATATAGAAAGATTAATTAAATATTTTTGTGTCATTTGTCAAAAAAGAAGCATAATTTATGACCTATCTACTCATAAATAGGAATCAAGTTGAGTGTAATATCAGACTCTAAACTGGTATTCATATTTAGCTCAGGCATTACTGCTGTGGTTTTTGCCAGCCTTAAATTCACCTCAGTTCACTGGGTCAACAGTGCAAAAGGAGAATAGTTGGACGGTAACACTATAAATTTAACATGCAATTGAATTACTGACGACCTGAAACAGCAGCAGGGTTCAAATTAGTGCAAAACAGACTGCACACATTTCAATTACAAGTTTTACAGTTTATGGCAAGCAATGAATCTCCTGATCAGGTCTGTTTTGTTCCCCTTTTTAGTTGGCACAGCTCTCACCATCCTGATCTCGGTCACCACAGTCGCAGCTCTCCTGGTGATGTCCTTGTGCTTCTGCCTTTGGAAGTGTTTTTTGCGTAAAGAAGGTAAGCGCAGGTTTATACTGGTTTTCTAATGCATGAGTATCTCCTAAGAAAAGAAATACCCTTCAAAATTAATTGATGTTTGTACATTGTGGAGCAAGATGCCTAAATCTGATTGTATAAGTTAAAGATCAATAATATTTTAGGAATTTTCAGAAAAGTAAAAGAAACCTAATAAATTCCCCTAATGCGTCCAACAGCCGTGCTCTGCAAATATTCTTCCTAACATGAGATTTTATTTTAAAATAAACATAATTTAATGTCTGGGCTGATTCTAGTGTGTTGCTTGGCAAACCACTCCAGAAACAACAGATTCCTGTTCAGATTCAGTTAGGTAACTGTGCATATGTTGTTACTGGCCAGAAAAGCAAGTCTCAGTGACCAGTGGGCAAGTCCAGTCATGCACTGACATCATTTCCAACCAACACACTTTAAAATAACCTAAAGTGTTTGATGTTGGGTGACTTTTCATTATGCTAACATGCAAAGTGACGCATTTACCCAAATCAGGACTTCTATACAACACCATGACTTTTAGGAGAACACTAAATAGCACAAGTCTAAAATCTTATTCAATGATATTCAATTCAAAAATACATTATTTCATTAGAAAGGGAATTGAAGTGTTCTAATTCACAGTACCCAGGTATCTTCAAGGTGTTGTGGATGTTGGTGCTGTGCGCAGAAAGGATGTCCAGTAGCAGTCAGTCTTGCAACCAATCTAAAGATCCTCTGATTGAAGATTGTTGCTGTATAATAGTTTCATGTCCGCCTTTCTAACGAGCAGAGATGATGTTTCACAGTGACTTCCTCATGACCCCATTAGATGTTGGCAAACACTTCTAATCTAACTCAGTCAATTTTGCTGTGTGACATTTTTACTCAAATTAATTAAGAATGCATCTTTACGAACCATCTCTGCTTGTATTTTAATTTCCTTAAGTAGCAACATCTCGAACATTCAGCAGTTTTTACTTTAAGGCGGGCTTTTTTAAATGTTGCTTTGATGTTATAATGAAATATGCAGTTGCACTCTCTTCATTATGTTTGCTCTGCCTCTCCCACAGATAATCCTTCTGCTTTGGAAAAAAAAAAACATGTGAAGGAGTGCACATATTTTAAATATGCCAGGAATTCATGTGTGAAAATGACTTACCCGGTTTGACTAAATGCAGTGAAGTAGTTGTCCTGTAAGATTATTTACAGTGACACTTAGTTAGAAAGTTGCTTCCCAGAGTTACAGTTTCAGAGCTAAACTAAAGATCTGGAATAATAAAACGGTCCCAGGAGACGACATAGGTCCACAGTGACAGTTTCCTCTAAAATGTTTTTTGTGAACGCTTTGTACGCTTTTCTTTTCAGACGATTAATCCGAGACGCAAGAGCTGAAAAGAGGATCTTCTCAGGACCGTCCTAAAGAGAACTTTTTCCTGCCATATCCTCATCTCTCGTCGTCGTCACCATATCTACTGCTATATGGTTGGAAAGGGAAGATGCTCTCAAATTCCTTAAGGGCTGTCCAGCACAATCCTATTCATCATCACCAACTGGGCGACACTCAGCTTTACTCTGACTCTTCCATAGTCTCTTCTTTTTTTTACTATTTTTGTTCATCTAAGCTCTGTAATTGATTGAGTCGATGGCTACACATTCCAGAACAGCAGAGTCTCTGTGCGGCTGAGTTGAATTATTTTGCAGAACATTACATGCCCTCAGAAAACCTTTCTGTGGTCGTCTCTGTTTTTTTTTTTCATGAACCTCAAAGATGTGTCTTAATGTTTGCTATTTTTCATACTCGCTAAAATGCAATAGAAACTCCAAAAAAAGCAAAACATTTGAACTTGAATGAAGTTTTAACATTACAAATATTGCAAATCTTGTCTTTGAATTGTAAGATTGACAGCTCATTATTTTGAGAACTGGGAAGGTTTATAAAAATGTAAGAAATTAAAATTCTTATAGTAAACTGTAAACTGTCTTCCAAAAGTATTCATACCACCTTGAACAACAAATTTTAAAGTGTTTTCTCACAATTTCATTTAATAGATCAAATCAAAAATAATGGATAAATGTGAAGAGGAAGGTAAATAATACGTTGGACGAGCTCAGGTCGACCAAGATTTGTCTCAATCCCAAAAAACACGTAGAAAGCTTTGGTCAAAACCAAAATGTTTTCCTAGATGCAGTACACTACATGTAACAGAAAAGTATCGCTGCCCTTTCCCCACAGGGAAACATGAAGGTGGCAAAATCATGTCGTGGAAATGCTTTTCTGTAGCTGGGACAGGAAGGTTTGTTAGAGATTAACTGGGGCAAAGATTTACTGAGCTTGTCCTGCTTTTGGAAAAACTGGCAAAAGCTTCAGTGTTTGCAACATGACAAAATGATAAAAAGTTCAAAGGTCATGAATACTTTTGTAAGGCACTGCATTCCAAATGTTTTTTCCATAACTATGATTTTTTTTTTTTACAGCATTTTTTTTCTTTTTTTATATTGTGCGTGTTTTTTGTTCAATGTTAAATTCTCCGGTCAGATGGTTTGAATCAATTTCAAAAGCATTTTAGTTGCCCCTGAAAGAATGTGTGTCCTGCTGCTCACTGTGCAGTCGGACACTTTCTGTCTGAAAGACCTAAAAAACACGACTTGAGCACTTCAGGTTAAATAACTCAAAGGATCTCTGTCCTTTATAAAACCCCTCTCACTTTGGACCAAACACACAGAAACATCAAAGCATAAAAGAAAATGCATTGATGCTTCTAGTTGATCTTCTGAGGGTTTTTCTTTTTTTCAGTTTTAACTGGTTTTTATTATCAAAGCTATTATAGTTACTGAAGCGAATGATTTGCATTTTTTCTTGTTTATTGATGGTGTAAGACATGGAAGTCGTCAGAATTATGTTAGGAATATCATTCCTGTCTGCTGAAGGCTTTCAATCACACAAAAATACTGTATTTCAATGAAGACACATAATAAAAACCATCACATGTAATATAACTGTAAAAGAATAAATAAATGACTGAAACAGTAACCGTGGAGCCTCTCTGTCATTGTTTTTTGAGCTATAGTGCTGTATCTCTTTAAGATCAAATGTGCCAAATCTGCCTGCCAGATGCTTTTTTTTTCATCTAAGCCAGAGCACTGAAGTTGGATCTTCTGGAATGATGAAAAAAAGATGCACCCATGTGCTCTCAGAAACTTTCACCATGCCTTTCTTGCACAAAATGCACGTGCGGTATTTAATTTAGCACTTGTGGAAACAGACAAGAAATAATTCTTGATTACGTTAGCCAGGCTACTTAAGTCAGGAATTCGTGTTACACCACCATGTCTTTGACATTATGCCAACCATTTCAGAAATGATTTATGTAGTTAGAACCACTCAGACTTAGACTCACGTAACTTACCTCAGCAATATGAAGCTTGTATGTGTGTGTTGTATGACAGCTTATTTAGGAATGTGTGTGTGAAATAAACTTATGTGTGAGACATTTCGGAGAGGTATGTGTGTCTTATTGCATGTGTATATTTTGGATCGACTCCATTTTGCTTGAGGTATGCAGCTGGGCAGATCATGCTCCTGGTGGTGGTGTTTGGTTCTGCGATTGTAAAAAGCCACCCTCGCTGAAAAATCTATAACAGTCACTACGATCACATAAGTGATCACGTTGTCAATCTGTCGCAGTGAGGATGACTTCTTTGTTCACCAGTGACTGAAATGCAAACGGCACTTCTTGTGTGACAAAGAAAGACTTTAACAGTTTGATCTCAGAGGTTCTGGGTGCCAGACACTGTCGCTGAAAGAAAAACTTTCCACACAGCAACACAGTGGTTTATTCCTCCAATGGAGAATTCATATGCAGCTGTAATCTCAGCTCTTCGCCTTTCACAGCATCCCACTGGGGGAACTAAAAGGTCTGGCGTTTTTTTGTATTTTCATCATGACATTTTATTGAGTTGCAGCGCATCCAGAAGAATGCTTGGAATAGATTTATTAAGGAACATTGTGTTAGATATCATCAAATTAATATTATATGTCGGCAAGATGAGCAAGTCAGGTCACAGCTTTGCTTCCAAAATGTATTTGATTTGTAGCAGCAGCTTATTTTTTTTTTACAGTGATGTAACAAAAAAATGAACTAAATTAGAAAAGAATTCCAGCTTGAATTTCTTGTCTTTGTCTATTTTGCGTTTCTAACTTTACATCTTCTCTTTCCACCAGTCCAGACCAACTCAGTATTACTTCATCTTTATTTTAAACAAGGGATGGAAACCTTGTGCCTCCACTTTTACCACCTCAACTCTTCCGATCTTACTCAAACATCTCTGCATCAAAACCAGACATGATCATTGCAAGTCTGACTTCTATGTTACTTCCTGTAATCTTGAGCCAAACACACTCAACTGTGGCTTACAAGTTAGGAAATTTGTGTCAATGCGGCCATGATGACACTCTGTATGTTATACAGGAAATGTGTTTTAGAATGGCTTTATGTGTTTTTTCTTGAAGTTCCTGTTTGAAGTGATATAACATTTCTGGCATTTAATAACCTTTAAGTGCTAGTAATGCACAACACATATTTGTTAAAAAAATAAAATAATGATAATTATCCCTGAATTGTTGACACTATAATTACATAAAATGATGAACAAACAGGAAAAAACTATCCTTTGATGGCTCTCATGTCTACTTCAAATGTTACAGCTTTATGACCACAAACTCTTTCTGCACTGACACTTAAACCGCACCGTTCCATGACGCTTCCACACGAGTATGGATGTTTCTAAGTTATTCTTAATCAGTGAAAAGTACTCAACTTTTAAGTCACATTGATAACAGCGTAATTTGTCTTTGTGTCGTTTTTACATGTGTAGTTTCTGACTGTTGTCCCACGCTGTAGGGGGTTGATGACAGCATACACTTCACTTTTAGGTGCTTCTGTTTTCACTGTTGAGTATGTAACAGTCTGCTGGTTCCCAGTTAGAGCGAGTCCAGGTGATGTTGATCTTTCTGGTTTATTCGAAGAATAGATGTCATTCAGAACAGAGGTTGGAGTTCGCAGGCTGGGAGAAGAAAGGGCGATCGTCTTGGGGAGTTCTGGTATCATATGTGTAGATATTTCCTGCTAGAGGAAAATAAAATTTAAAAATATTTTACTTTATAATAAGATTATAAACTGTACAACTACTTCAAGTGAAGAAAGTCGAGATGATCTTAAACTCTCACTAGAAAGGTTTTTCTCTGCTTCTTTCTACTGGGACACCTGCATTAGAACGTCTCAGCTAAAATCTACCTAAACTTTTTTTAGATCTAGAGAGGTCTTAATATTTGAAGCCTTAATGTAGCGATGGAAACACCGTCAGTATTTTTATCAGCTGCATTTATTTCAACTGACCACTGACTGAAGCCTCAGGTTGTTTTTTATAAATCATGCTGCAACTGATCTTATTAAACTGTTTAGTATTTGTTTTGACATGCCTTTCTCATTTCCCATCAGAAACAAATAGTTTCAAAAATGAAAATGCATATTACAGAAGATTCATGCTCCATGGGATAAACTTTTTAATAATCCTTATAGTAAGACCGGGTTGTTCTGAGCAATCTTCATAGACATGCCGCATTAAGCTTAGGTTGCTGGAGGAAAAGCTGATCGTTTCTCTGTCCTCTCATCTACATGTACTGCATTATTTCCGGATATTTTAAGTTTCCCCTCAGTTTCATCGAAGCTACATCTGGTAGCTGATACCTTCCTGGAGGGCCATATCAGTTGCACCAAAACAAGTTAATGTTCTCCTTCTCCTGCCATTAACTTTCTTTTCCTAGTTTAGTGCTTCTGTTTATTCTTTGCTTTGGCTTCTTAAACACCCAGTCGGTTGTGGCAGATGGGAGTTCAGACTAAGCCGGGTTCTGCTGGAGGTTTCTTTCTGTCAAAAGAAAGGGGGAGAGTTTCCACTCCACTGTCACGAGATGCATTTCCAGTATGAGGGATTGATGGTCACAACTTAAGCTATTTTCTGCTGTTGATACATGCTCACCCAGGTAGAGTAGATATTTGTACAAGACGCAGTGCCTTTCATTTAACTCTCATTCAGTCTCCCGTGTTTCCATAACTGCAAACCTTTTAACCAGCTTTAGTAATAAACTGAATATGACAGCAATGTTAGATACCGAGGAAACGCATGTATGTATAATTGGATTGAATTGACTTTTTTTTGGAATTGGTGCTTTTTAGATTACATAAATAAACTGAATTGAATTCAATAGACATGTACTATAAAACATCTCCAAGATGCTGTAGAGCACAAGGCTCTGCAGCATCTTGCAGAGCTGTATTGTGGCGTAGCTTTCATCTGGTGTAAAGGTTGTTTAAAAGACTTTGTCTTTTTGATTATGACCCAGCTTTACAAACTATACATGATACATTTTTTGCAAACTGACTACCTCAGAGTTCTTGTAATTGTTCTAAAGAAAATGTGAAGTTTCAAAACACTAAACAATAATTCATTACGTAAACCTGATTACCTCTTGGTTTTTGTAGTTGCGGGTCCACGTTCCTATGGAAAACAAATTTAAAGGGGATTAAAGATGCAAGTAGTGCAACAGTTACAGAAGAACCACAGCTAAATTAATAGTCTTACGTTTGCATCCATGAAAGCACATGAGGACCAACACGATCGCTGCAGCGATCAGAAGTGTAATGGTAACACAGATCAGGAGGATGGATAGCGAGGAGAGATCATCATCAATGCTGCCTGAGCCAACTGCATGAAAAAGTAATGTTAAAATATCTGCAATATTAAATGTGTAAAATTACATTAAGCTTCTTACCTGCATCATCATCAGGATTTTCTACTCCTTTGTTTGATTCTTGAGCAATAAAAGAAAACAGATATGATTCACACAATGAACCAGATTCTTGCATTTCATGGGTAAATCTTGGAGAAAAATACCTGAAACTGAGATGTTGATGGAATGGCTGACTACTTCGTTACCGTGTCCTGCAGTACATTGGTACAGGCCGTCATCATTAATGGAAACCTGCTCAAAACTTAAATATGAAATCACATTCTCTTTGTCATATTTCTGTGTGATTTTTATGTTCTCCGTATCTGGAATGGCTTCCCAGTTCGCTAATGTGGCAGAAAATTTAAACCAGCCGACATTGAATGACTTCCCACAGTGTTGGACGGGACACTTGACTGTCAGATTCTGTCCAGGGGAAACACGTTTTATTTCTCTTCTTCGTACTTTAGTCGTCACATCACATGAAGAAACTGTAATTTCAAAAGATTATTGTAATTTTAATGACACGATTTCAAAGTTATTGTCAAGAACAGTTTATGTTATCATACTGATTTTGATTAAGAAAAACATGTTCATTACTTCAAGATATGACATTAATTCCCAATTTTGTTGACCTAAACAAGGACATTTCTTGAAAAATATGGTTTGTTTGTTTGTTTGTAAATGTAAGCAACAAAAGAAGTTTCTATTAATGAAAATATTTTGATATCACACAAACAAACCTTACGTGAATCACTTTTTAAAAATTCATCAAATTGTCTACATTAACCTAGAGATTATCAAACACAAAACTATTCACTAACGTGTATATATTATTTTATATTATGTTGTCCTCTTTATCAAGACAATAGTGGTAGAACAAAGACATGGAAGGAAAAAAATTAAAGAATTAAGGACTCTGAAATGTAATTAGTATTGATAATTCATTTAAACTCACAAAAAGTCAAAGCCAATTGGAAAATTGGGTGAAGCTCTTGCTGTTTACAACATACTACATCTACAACATAACATGTTTACCAAAAGACATCTGATGCAATACGTTTTTACCAATAAATAATATAAAATAAAATAAAAATGATATTAAGGTTCTGGAGATATGTTTTTCTAATACCAGAAAAACATTTGTTTTTATTTATTTAGTTATTTTTTGTTTATCAGATTTCAACAGAAAATATAGTTTTGAAAAACATGTAGAGATGTTTGTGTATTCAAACAATAATCATCCAGTAATTATTTGAATATTTTTTATACTTTTTTTTTCTTTTTAATATTTAAATTGACTTCTAATCTAAACCTCATCAGTGAAACAAACAAGATAAATCAATTTAAAGTTTTTTTGTTTCTTTCTATTTTAATTCATTTTAACTGAAGAAAACTTGCCATCTGGCAGCTTTGCTGTCACATAAATATTGAGTCTCAGTCACACTGAAATAAAATTTCTTCTGTTGCTTTCTTGACAACCTTACTAAATGAAAACAAAAAAAGTTAAAAAAGAAAAATAAAAGCCTTACCTTTATTTTCTCTGCTAAGGCAAATAAACGTAACACACCAAATTATCAGGAGCTGCATGGTGCATCATACGCTCATCACAAAAACTTTCAAACAAGGTGCTGCAGGTTCATTTTACTTGTGACAAGTTAACCACTTCCTGACTTCGACCACCCGGCACATGTTTTTCAGTTTACCACGAGGTTAAAAAATTCCCCGTGTGCAAAGATAGAAAGATGAGAAAAAATGACGCATGCAAAAGTTATTTTAGCATTCCCAAGATCAACACGGATACATACCTGCACTTGATCATTCTTATGATGAACTTCAGGTCACTTTTACTCAGAAACATGCAAAAAATTATCACTGCAACAAGCAACATTTTACCAGAAGCTCAGCAGTGCAACCTCACGGTTAAACATTGATCAGAAGACCACAAAAAAAAAAAAAACTTCATCTGATGGTTACTTTCGAGAACTGAGAAGACACCTAAATCACGACCAGAAGTCTAAACCATTTACAATCCAGAGCCATTTTTCCCTGAGTCCAGTAAAATAAAATTTATGTAGAGCCACAACAGTTTTATGATTGTTTCAAAAAAGACATCTAACTTTAGATAAATATCTATTTTAAGACATTTAATGTCATGTTTAAACAACCACCATCTTATATCTATTAATGGTTAAAAATGCAACTTATACTAAAAGAGAGCCAAAGCATTTTCTTTGATGGGATGTTGATATAAATGGAAAATGATGTCTGATGTTTTCAAAATAATGACAAGGACAAAACAGGTCTAAGAACTAATTCTTTTGAGCTTTATTTTGTTGTGTATTTGTTTCTAGATCTATATTTAAAAACAATAATTTAATGGTTCTAATTTTCAGCTAATGTTATTTAAATCTATCTGGAAAGTCTAAAGAGCCAGTAATGTCGACTGAGTTGTATTTCAGTAACTTTAGGTATGAAATGTTGTAGTCACAGCAAAGTTTTTCCTTTTTTACACGTTAATCAAACAGAATCAGTACTTTTTTCTCATGACAAATTTCAAATAACCCAAGAACTCCAACAAGCTCATCATTTTAAGAGAAATCGTCCACACAGAAACAGAGGGACTTGTTTTTGTCTCAGAGTATTCATGTTTTAAATGTGGACCATCAAACTATACAACACATTTTATACCCCAAAACTGGGGGCACAAATCCCTTAAATGCTTGACTTTATAGAATTGGTTCAAGATGAAACCCAAACTTTTTGAAAGGATTAGGATTAATGTTTATTTAAGAAGAAACAGGGACTTTCTGTGGAATTGACTGAAAAACGTTATGACAAGTTTCTGACCAGACAAGTAACAGAAGAAGCGATTTTCCTTTTTCCTACTATTTCCCACACCATAAAAGCATCACCTGGTGTGAATAGACTGCCATGTTTTTTTAGACTTCATGCCCTCCATGAAACAAGACAAACTGCTTTTTTTTCTCAACAGTGCCATCTTGTGTAGACTATTAGGTGATGCTGATTGTGTGCCTGTGTGTATTTATGTTTTGATGAGAAAAATATTCAAGTAGAAGACATTTTTTTTCAGTTCTTCATTGTTGACATCTGTGATAAAGAACAGGGCTAAAATCTTATTATTTTTCATATTTTTCCACGCTTCATGTTAAACTAGTTTTCAGTTTTCAATTTGAAAAAAATCTCCTTAATACTTAATTTAAAATGTATCACTTTTTCTTTTGTGTTGCCACAAGGTTTCTTTTCTGTATCCACTCGCGTGTTTGTAGAGGAAAATAAAAACTTCCACAGCACTCCGAAATAAGGATGCAAAACAAAAATTTATTCCACAGTTTTTGTGAGATATCCTTTACAAGAGCAGTTGTATTTTATCTAACCTTCACAAACAACTACGGTTGAAAAACCGTGTGGCTCTGTAGATAAACTAGCAGCGCCTTTCCTTTCTTCCTTGTTAACGCTACAGCGTGCACACCTCATTTGCATAAATTGCGAAATGGACACTTAAACTATAAACATACAACTTAAAATAAAACACTCATTGACAACAAAACATTACAAAATTAGCTACATGCAGTACTAATAATTCTTCCTAAACTTCGATAAATTCTCTTATTAAATTACATATTAAACAAAATGTTTTTACAATAACTGAATATTACTTCACATTAACTTGGCCTCCACATCTTTCATCTCACTCTGAGGACAAAGGCTCAAGCAATTTTGTAAACCCATGTCAGATTTGTCTTAAACAAATTAGTTTTTCAGTTCTTCTTCATTTCTCAAGTCTCTGTAGTATCATAAGCTCTCTCACATGAATGACCTGCCAAAAGCATCAGGAGCAACATCTGCCATTGATGAATATGTTGTACAGGAAATATGTGACAGAATGGTCATGTGGGCTTTTTCTTGATATTGCTCTTTGAATTTGCATAACATTTTAAATGTTTAATAGTCGTAAGTAAAAGTAATGCAAATATTATACCTGTTTAAAATAATAATACTTTCAGTGTTTCAAGTCCCTGAATTGTTGAGATTATAACATGAAATGATAAATGCACAGAAAATCTATCTTTTATGCCTCTCATGTCATGTAACTGCCCTCTTTTGTACTGTCACTTAACCAACATCCAATCCATAAGTTGATGTTCTGCACATCTATGCTTGTGTGGATCATTTATACTTCTGCACAAGTCTGGATGTTTCTGACTTATTCTCAGAGAGTGAAAAATACTCAACTTTTAAGGCGTTGATAACAGCAATTTGCTTTTTCATCCTGCTTACATGTGTAGTTTCTGGCTGGTGAACTACATTGTTGGTAGTTGATTATTGTATACACTGCACAGTTAGAAGCCTGGCTATGAGCGGCTATATTTGCTGCATTCCCAGTGAGAGTAAGAGCAGGTGATGGTGATGTTGTTCCTGGTTTACATGAAGAATAGATGTCGTTCAGAACTGAAATCTGAGTTTTCAGGCTGGGAGAAGAAGGGGCCCTTGATTCCGGTGTCTTATGTGTGGATATTTTCTGCAAGAAGCAAATAAAATAAAAATAAAAAACTTTACTGTACATGAAGATGATAAACTGTACAATTACTTCAAGGTGAAGAAAGTCAAGATGATCTTAAACTCTCAGTGGAAAGGTTTTTCTCTTCTTCTTTCTTGTCCCTTATATCATAACGGATCCAACAATAACACCTGGATTCGGATGTTTCACCTAAAATCTACCAAAACCTTCTGTAGAGATAGAGGGCTGATGTGTCTTTACCATGAGTTGAAGCCTTGAAGTAAACGCTTCTGCATTTGAACACACCACTGATTACACTGAGACTGTTAAGCGTGAAGTTGTTTTTTATGACTCCTGTTGTGTTACAAACAAATATTAATACCTTTGAGTTCCAACTCAAGAGTTTTTCTATTCTTCTTGATTTTTGTTCTCTCTAGGTGGTTTTTTTCAGGCTCTAGTGTCCCCTATATGACAGTAGGCTGACAGGAAGGGGGTAAGGAGAAGTGGTAAGACATGAGGCAAATATCATCGGGTCCAGGAGTCAAACCCGCGACAGCCGCATCGAGGACTAAAGGCTTCCAAATGTAGGTCACGCCACCACAGCACGCCCCTTGATTTCTCATTTCTAAATAAGATGCCTGTATTTCATCTTAACAATTGATCAATTCAGTCAATGATTACATCTTATTTAATGGTACTGCAAAGTTTGCACATTTTCTGAAACTAACTATACCATCTCAGAGTTCTTGTTATTTTCATTTACCTAAAGAGTAGTTTCAAAATCCAAACTAAACTCTACTATGTAAAATAGATTTACATTACCGCTTTGTTTTTATTGTTGCAAGTCCAAGTTTCTGTAAAAAAAAAACAAAAAAACAAACAAACAAAAAAAACAAGTTAAAGGGGACTGAAGATGCAAATAATGCAACAGTTACAGAAATTAATAGTCTTACGTTTCCATCCATGAAAGCACATGGGGACCCACACTATCGCTGCAGCGATCAGAAATATAATAATAACACAGATCAGGAAGATGAATAGTGAGGAGCGACCGTCGTCAATACTGTCTGAGTCAACTGCATGAAAGAATGATGTTAAAATATCTGCAATATTAAATGTGAAAAAAATGCATTAAGCTTCTTACCTGCATCATCATCAGGGTTTTCTACTCCTTTGTTTGGTTCTTGAGCAATAAAAGAAAACAGATATGATTCACACAATGAACCAGATTCTTGCATTTCATGGGTAAATCTTGGAGAAAAATACCTGAAACTGAGATGTTGATGGAATGGCCGACTACTTCGTTATTGTGTCCTGCAGTACATTGGTACAGGCCGTCATCATTAATGGAAACCTGCTCAAAACTTAAATATGAAATCACATTCTCTTTGTCATATTTCTGTGTGATTTTTATGTTCTCCGTATCTGGAATAGCTTCCCAGTTCGCTAATGTGGCAGAGAATTTAGACCAGCCGACATTGAATGACTTCCCACAGTGTTGGACGGGACACTTGACTTTCAAATTCTGTCCAGTGGAAACACGTTTTGTTTCTCCTCTTGGTACTTTAGTCGTCACATCACATGAAGAAACTGTAATTTCAAAAGATTAATGTGATTTTAATTACAGAATTTCCAAAGAACCGTCAACTCATGTTTATTTTGATTTTAATAAAGTGTTCATTGCCAAACGTTGCCAGACATTTCCAATGAACACTACAGAAAACACTACAGAATTATTACAAGGTCTTTTTTTGATATAACTATTGTTTGTTTATTATTTACAGCAGAAAACATACTTTTTAAAAACCTTTAGAGCTTATTAAAACATAAATATCCAGTAGCTATTTAAATCTTTTCCTAAAAACTTGTCTTTTTATTGTTTTAATCGGCTCCTGTTTTTACCTCATCAGTGAACCAAATAAATAATAAATCAATTGAAGGAATCAAACCTGCCATTTCTGTCACGTAAGTGCATAGTCTCAATTATGCTCAAATAAAATGTTAAAAACTAACATTTTAGTTTTAACTAAAATGTTAAAACTAACATTTTAGTTAAAAACTAAAATGTTAGTTTTTAACATTGAAACTAAGTAAGCTGAAAAAACCAAAAGCCTCACCTTCATTTTGTCCACAGATGCAGATAAAGGTAGTAAACCAAATTATCAGGAGCTGCATTCTGTCCATTGTCCATCATATGCTCAGTACAATAACTTTCAAATAAGCACCTGCAGGTTCATTTTAGCTCTGTGACCACTTCCTGAACCACATTCTTGTCTTCAATCATCCAGTATGTGTTTTTCAGCATAGCATCAGGTGACAACATTTCCCATGTGCAAAGATAGAAAGAGAAGACATATTTTTACACACGCAAAAGTTATTTCAGCATTCCCATAATCGGCACAGATACATACCCACATTTGGTTGTTACTTTTCATTATGATGAACTTGAGACATCTCTTTTTCAGAAACATGCACAAAGTCATCACCACAACAAGCAACGCTATCACGCTTTTACCAGAAGCCCAGTAGTGCAAGTTGGTGCACAGATACCTCAGGGTTATACATTGATCTAAAGACCCCTGAAAAACTCTGTTAACTACGTAGCTTCTTTGGTTGGCTACCTGGTAAAAATGAGCCTCTTGTCCGAGACTCTGTTTCAGGAACATCTTCAGTTGATTGTGCCACATATCAGGGGATATTTAATGACACTTGGCCATTACACTTGGAGGGTGGATGGGTGCTTTGTTCAGGGAATGCTCATTTTGCTCCTCTGTGCACTTTGGTTATCAAACCAGGCCCACCAATATGTTCAAACTCATCACCTTAAGAGACATTAAGCAACTGAAGAACTGAAAAATTAACTGCAGATGGACACTATTATATAAAAGCAGGCAGCCCAGTAAGCATTAGTAGATGAGCAAAAAACACAAGTGGAAGCAGTTGATCCATGAGAAACTTCTCTTTCCTCTCTGTTTGTCACACTTTTTCCACAGAAGCCAATGCAAGTGGGTGTTCAGATCCAAGATTCAAAGCAGAAGGGGTTTTTCTTCTTTCTACTATTTCCCTCTCATAAAAACAGCACCTGGCGTAGAAAGTTTCCCTTCTCTTTTTCAGACTCCATGCCCTCTATCCTTAGTGGTATGATAGACAAACTGTATTTTTTCTCAATAGTGCCATCTTGTGTAGAAGATCAGGTGATGCGGATTGTGTCCTAATGACTATTTCTGTTTCATAAGACAAATATTCAAGTAAAATACCTTTTTTGCTATTGTTCTTTATTGTTGAAATCATAGGATAGAACTAATATCTAATCATTTTTACATATTCCTAAAATTTCATATTAAATTCAAGTTTTTAATACAAAACACTCCTCGTTTTCATATTTGTTCCAGAGGAAAGGGTGCTCCAGCACCACCTAGTGTTTGTTTGTGCATGTCCCTGTGGGTGACCCGACCAAAACGTCAACAATCATTGCAAGTCCAAAAGACAGAAGACAGATTAAAGGCAATAAAATATTAAAGGTCCATGATTGATCAATTGGATTTCCAGATTCCAGACTTTTTCTACTTTTTCTATGTAATGCTTGCCAATTATGAGCTATTGGTCAGTAAAGCTATTGGTCAGTGAAGCTGACCAATAACTCACAAACAAAAAGTTTAAGAATTAATTCAAGTGTGTATTTCAATACTAATGACAGAAAATGTTTGATTTCCTTTTGAAATGCAGAAAAATGATGACAGAAACGAAAGATTGTTGACTGTCTCTGACGTCTTTCTGTGCAGCTACAAACCAATACATAAACACGTATTAACCTTTAAAGAGAAAATTGTAAATATGTCAAACAAAAGCAACACTAAGCTATTGATGAATGATGATTAGCTGAGAACTGCATCTTCATGAATCGCATCTGGACTGGCTATCCTCACTATTTTTAGTCTGAAATGTAAGATCAACCCTTTTTTTCAGTGAAACTGCAGAAGAACAAATTTACTAGTAAAGTCATACTTTTAAAAGGTAGTTCTGTTTTTCTATTAGGTTCAACCTGCTCTTACTCAGAACTGATAAAAATCTACTGAGGTAATTGCAGGGGCTTCATTTCATCACTTCCCTACCACATCCTGACCTCCTACAGCATCCTGTACAAGTGTGTTTCAGCACATTAACAGTTTTTATTAACTGTGATACCCCCTGAAAAATACATTTCAAGCAAATGAGCCATGTAATGAATGAAGAAAACCAGACCACTTACATTTTAGTCAAAGAGCTTGTTTCTTTGTCATTTGTTGCTAAATGTTAGTACTATTGTCTTCCTGTCCTTCAATTCAAACCTGTAAAAAGTGAAAGTTTAAATTCAATTTGTGTATGAGGCACTGAGTTTATGAACAGCACCATCTTGTGTTGAAAATTGATACTGTACAGCCATGTGCTATGACGAGTCTCGTTTTTCAGATTAAAAGTATCTTTGGAAATGAAACTTTTTAGTAGGTATAAGTGGAAATTTTTCATAAGAGAAATAACAGACTAATTACATCTGTGTAATTAATCTACATGACACATATTTGTGTTTCAGTTAGTGCTAAAATTCCTGAAATAAAATATCTTTTCAACAATTTTCTACTATATTGAATGGTCTGTATATTATGTAGACAGATGTGCAATATCTGCAAAGGTTTCTTAAGATTCTGCATTTGGGAGACTGTTCTTCTCTCAAGATACAAATCACTTTTCCATAAATTACCAAATTTTGACTGAAATTTAAATTCTTAAATTTCAGTCAAAACTCAGGTCATGATATGCTGTGACTTCATGTCTCTTAAGATTATGCCTGGACCAATAATTAGTACTAATCCATTAAAGTTAATCCCAGCAATGATTACTTTATTTTTTTTTTTTTTTTGTTCCCTCTTAACATGTTGATTTTTTAATATCAATTTAAAAAAATTCTGAAATTTCTGGTCATAAACAAACAAAAAAAGTTGTTCTGCCCCTCTATAAACTATACATTTCACTTTGAATGTTAAAAATAATTAATAATAATTAGCGCAACTCTCACACAGTGACAGCTGCCAGGAGATATCTGCACAGCTTGTAGTGCAGGTTACATGACACAGAGTGCTGTTGTGAAAAGAGGCTCTCTTTCACTTTGAGCATTGTTGCAAATCAAGAAAAAAAGGAAGACCCTGATAGAGAATGCACATGAAAAATGACTTCATTTAAAAGAAAAATATCTATGAAAAAAGTTGTTTGACTCACTGGGGATACAGCAGATATAAAATCACGCACACCATACTGACCTTTCAAGTTTTAACAAACCAAACTAATGTGTTTCTCTCTGTTATCTCACATATTTAGACCTGATGAAGATTTTAATAAACTGTTTTTCTCAGTACACAAACAACTTCATAAGTTAATTTGTAATGTGACACGACACAGCGTATTCAAGAACGATAACATAGGGTTTAAAATAGAAACCAGCATAAGAATTTTACTCTGTCAAAGGTTTCACTTGTTATATGGCTTCCCCTATCAGACAGCTTGTGTCACATCAGAATAGTGTTCCTTAGACATAGTAAGAACTTTTTTTTCTCAACTAGCCTTTACCGCATCTTAATTTCAAACTCTTCTACGAAATGATAAATGAAGATGTTTTTTACAAAAACGGGAATGTTTTATAGAACAATTTTGAAATTTAGAGAAGTGTAATTGCAAAAGATATCTTTCAAAAGTGTTTAATCAGTAACTAAGACATGAAACAGAGAAAGTAGAGTTACAATCTTCAGCAAAAGTTCCTGTAAACTCAGCTTATTGAGAAAGGAAACGTTCTTCTGAATCGATAAAGCTCAACTCTGTTGCTAATTGCAGATATTTGTAGAACATTATTATGCACTGTTGCATCCAGATTGTTAGTTTTGCCGTAGCTCAAAGTGGTTCACGATTGGCTCTAAGTCACTGAAAGACTGTTGTTTGAAACATAAAGCCAGTCCAGTAGTCAGTTCTTTTACATTTACTAATATTTTCTCAATTTGTCAAAATGTTAACCCCCAAACTTTGCATGGCAACGTTTTAATAAGATTGGGTATGATTCTTGGTTTCCATAAAATTGTCCAGATTACTCAAAACAAAATTAAATTAGCTTACACATAGATCAGGTACCATTAAAAACATTGCACCAAATACTGCTGTTTTTCTCAGATGCATACATATTCAAAAAAATGTGACATTTACTGAAAAGATGAAACCTAATTTTCCTATCAGTATGATATTTTCCATTTTACATTTTGCTGTGTTGTGCATATTAAGCCCATTATTCCTGTTGCCCATAAAGGTCTAGTTTTCATTTGGACAAAGATACAATTTATGATATAAACTTAGACTTTCCACTGCACATGTAAAACTCTGCTAACTTCCTCATGTTCCTCATTTTATTTATTTTTTCACAATCATGCAAATAAGATATTCACTTGCAAGCTCAAAGTATGCAGCAAAGGCCAGTTCAATGCACAAGCCTGCCGTGGTGCACTGAACTGACAATGCACCACCAGTGGTCACCACCATGACATGGTGTAAGTGGAGGCTTAAGAGGTTAAGACTTGGTTCTACAGTTTGTAAGACTTTGTGCTATTTATTTGCTTCACATGGGTTGAGCTCTGAAGCTTACAGAAATACAGAAGACTAAGGTTTGGGACACTTCGACAAAAATGATATGAGCATGTGCACAGGTCACTTTATGTAAAAGGGTCAAGTTTTTGTTTATGTGACAATCATTAGCAACGGATGCATGTATGAAGTGGGTATTCAGCCATAAAAATAACAAAATAGAAAAGAAAAATTCCCCACAAATAGATAACCTGTCATCTGCCCCTCCCTCTCTGTGATCTCTCTCTCTCTCTCTCTCTATCGCTCTGTTTCTCTCTCTTTTCCTCTCTCTCTCTGCTCCCCCTCGCTGCTGTGGCCTGAGCACTCTGATGCAGCCACCGAAAGTTTAGTTGTAGCAGAGGCCACTGCAGAATCAGGTTGTTCTCCAACAACCAGGGGCTCTTTGATTAATCATCATGGGAAACTGCACCTCAGGGTAGGTCCTCTCCTTGATATTCACACATATTCTGAAAGATAATAAGCCAAAACGTGGTAATAGTGTTCTAAAACTTCAGGATTGTCATTGCTGTATCTCTGGAAAACATATTTATACCTGGGTATTTGGGCATACATTGAATGATTTTCACTGCAGGTCATTCAGCCACTGTACAATATGGCAGTGAGACAAATAAGGGAAATCAGCCTCATTTACATTTGTGTTGCTCAAAATATTTGTTACTGAACGTCAACTTTTGGCAAATTAATAAATAAAAACAGAAAGCCCTCTTTTGTTATAAAAAGTCATATGTTAAGGCTATGGACGCATTTTTTCTCTTAAATGTAGAGTTTTCCGTTGTCTGACAGTTGTGCCAAAGCTTTATCAAGGAAATAGCGGTCATGTATAAAAATAGATCCGGTTTCACTCAGCATGTCAATAAGAAACATGCTCAATGTATTTGTGCTTCTTGTTCCAGCATTATCTGGGATGTTTCACTCAGAATCACGGCAGGTTTAACGTTTTAGGTTTGAACTGTTCGTGGCATGTAGAGTTGCTTTTAAACAGACACAAGTTGTTTTCTGGTGAAAAAAGGCTTCCTGTTGCAGCACACAATCAAGTGTTGAGCTGTTAAGGAAGCCAGTGGTAAAGTGTGTCACATCTGACTAGTGCAGATATTACTCTATTACATTTTTATAAAGCATGTAAATGACAGCTTTTTATGAACCTCAGTTTTCTATCGGACAAATACACCTTCAATTCACTTAGGGTGTAATGATTTAAATGTGCCGTTAAGCACACCGGTTTCTCACGTTGATGTATTTTAACACTGGTCGACAATAACCCAAGTGAATACAAAGTGCAGCATTTGAATGATGTATTTTCATTGAGGAAAATACAGTTAAATTCCTCCATCATTAAGGTAACTATGACTGACCCCTTTCCACATAGAAACTTGTGAAATCAAGAAAATACTCGAGCCTGTTTCACAACATGAAAAAGAAAAGAAATTCACGAACAGACGAGAAAAAGTCATTGACATCCATCTCTGAGGAAAGGCTTTTGAACTCCTGCAAACCAACCTGAGCACTTTGGAGGAAATAATGAATCAGTCGTGAAACTTTCCAGGTGTTGCAGCTCTGCCAAAATCACTCCAAGAACACAATGATGACTCCAAAGACCATCTAAAGATTTGGCAAAAATATTATTTTAGCCTGATCAATAGATGGGATTTTTGTTGTAGAAACTCGCTGCGTCAGTGTGACAAAACTCTAAAGTTTTTGTCACACTAAAGCAAGAATAAATCTATAAAAAACGCAAACGTATTTTAAGGTATTTTAATTTCAGTCAACAGACTCTGATCGTGTAATTTTGCTTTTATTCTCAGGCTACAGAAGAGGAAAAAAGGTAAATGTGCAGCAGAGTTCCTTCTAGCACTTAACAATATGCTACATTCAACATGCTGATTCTTTTTTTTTTTTTTTCAGGGAATTCTACCGATGGAAACACTGATGGAAGCAACGGGAATAAGGTACACAGTACATGCTCATCTCTACTTTCATTTGATTATTTATATGCAAAGTTTCCATCCCTGCCTCGGGGTAGATAGATGTGTCTCAGTGGTTTTATGACAGATCAGTCAACGGAATAGATTTGCATACCGCCTGAGCATTAGTGAGGCCTCTGTTGAGTAAGCAACCCGGGCACATTTTAGGAAGTCTTCAACACAAACCACATTCATTAAAAACATTTGGACCGTTGTGCTGTATCAAACAAGGTCACATTATTTTCTTTCTCTGTGTGCTGTTTTTTCACAGCCCAATGAGGATGTAACGTACGCCTCCATCACCCACCCTCCTGGCCATGGATCAAGACCTGAAAATGCTACCAATGAATACGATGGTGACAATGACTGTGACTACGCTACGGTTAAAATCCCAGCGGAAGTTCAAGTAGATACTTATTCCGAGTCATCCAAAGAGGAATGCACAGATGATTATGTGCTCATGGGCTGAAGAGAAATATGAAGATGAGCTCATTTGGACATGTTTGTGGCATGGAGGAGCTCATGAGATCGTAAACTAACCTGAGCGCTATGGAGAAAATGATGGAACTATGAGAGTTTACAGATGAATCATGATCGTATCTCGATTACCAAAGACAAACCGTGGAAAAACTGCAAAGAGCTAGTAGTTGTAGGGATGTTTAACTGCTAGATGATACTTTTCCTCTATGGTGGACCAGAACAAGAAGACAAAGGGCATGCAATTTCTTTATACAGATTACATTTGAAGATATTTCAGTTGTATTTGTCTATCTCTAAAGATATCTGCAAGAAAATGTCTGGAGTTAGTCCAACAAGCTCTCTACTCGGCATTGGCTAGTATAAAATATTTATGGCTTGACATTCTTGACTAAATAATATTACAATTTCATCCATATAGTCACAGTTCAGTAGCCTCATTATTGAGAAGCTAATGTCTAAATTAGCCAAACAGCGTTTCCATCCAGCTTGCAGCTTTTCAACAGTAGTTTTCAATGTGTGACCTCATTACAAGAATGCAAGTAGACCACACTGCCTTACAACTTGCTCCGCCCAATCAGTCAGCCCAACATCTTGGCTCACTGCCAGTTCACAGTTAACAATTTTAACTGTTGTTAAAATTTAACAACAGTATAATGGAAAAATTGAGTGGCTTTCCAACCATGTAAACGCCCAGTGCTTCTTCTCTTAGCTTTTGCAATCTGAAAAAATGACATTTGAAAGCCTGTACAAAATGAATATTATTGTGAGTTTAAAATTAGGTTTTGTTCCAGGAAAAATAGATCAGCACAGTTCTTCCGGAAATGAATCCAAGCTTTCCTTAAAGTGTGGCTTTAAGGAAATCAAATGCAACTAAGGCTGACTTTGAGTTGACTGAGAATCTCACTACCACTACATGCGGAGCTGCAAAAGTATATTACTGTTTGCATGTTTCATTGGAGTGTGCCTGATATGCTCAAATGGTTGAATCACTTTTAGTTTTTGCTACTGTAAAAAAAAAGTGGTTTATGGTTTCCCTACCACTCAAAAACAAAACGTGCAAACAACATGACATGCAGGTTTTTAAAGCATAACAAGTGCCTATTTGCCTTGTTTTCCGGGTGTACATCTGCTGTCAATCTATAAATATTCTGCTGCAGATGGAGGCTTGATCTTATCTCTCTGTTCATGCTGAAGAAACAGAACGCCCATGCTTTGCTCCACTTTTAACCAAAGTTTCACTATCTTTAAAACCTCCATGTTGACCTGCAAAGACCAACCTTCACTCACTGATGATATACGTAAATATATATAAGGCCCGATTTTACTGGTCAGGTTAGCTGCCAGGTTAAAGAAAATATTAAAAAAGCAAATAAAATTTACACATGAATGTATCTTAATTTATCATCTTTTTACGGCTGCATGCTCCTGTTATAACTTCTATTCATTTCCTTAATGTTATACTAATAGCTAAATATGTATTTGTATATACGTTTTTTTTTGTGTGTGTGTGTGCATTGTGTGTAGTACATGCACCTTTATTTATGTTTGACTGGTTGTGTATAAAATGAATTTAGCTAACTTTCTTGTGGTTTTATTTTTTGTGTTTATTCTTTATGTTTTCTATTAATTAAAAATTTTTAGCCTAAGAGGCTTAGTCACATTTTTTAAATACAAATTAGTAGTAATATTTAGAATTGTCTTCAGAAAGTACATTTATTTTGGTAATTCAGGTAAAAAAAGAAAAATAAAAAACCTGAAGATTGTATGTGAATATGTATTATATCTGGTGTCCTACTGTGTTCAATGACCATATTGACAGCATGGTCATTAATCATTTGTTGACCTTTTAGTTTTCTAGATAATACACTGATTCTAGATAATATACATCCTGGACAGCTTTGTGTGTGAGCTACAGTCCATGAGATTCTGCCCAATATTTTGAGTGAGTTACTTTATGATCTTCTCAAGCGAAATATTTCTGTTACTTATTGATCTTTTCTCACTATGCTTTTCCTTCCACTTAACCTTCTATTAATATCTTGCTTACAGAACTCTGCTAGTATTTCAGAAATCACCATTTGTGGCTTTGATGTCAGTCACAGTGGGATAGCTGTGAAATCAAAGGTCTCCCCCACGATACTGCAGCTCTCTCTACTTCACTGTATTGAGAGTGCTATTCTGCAATCTACCTTTAGAGGGCAGTGCAGCCCCCTTTTCACCAGAAACCTTCATAGGATTCAAGCTCAGTTTTAACACATGACTTTTATTGTGAGTAACTCAACCGATTACCCTGGTTATCAAAGTCAAACAAGTCTCACATCTTATTAATAAATTACTTAAATTCATACTTTTTTTTTCTTTTTTTTTATTGCACGTTTAAAAAGGGAATTTCTTAATTTTTATATACACCAAGTAAACAGGAAATGTAAACTGTACAAAATAAAGAACAACTAATATCTGCTTGTTTGGGATTTGTGTTTTACACCCATTTTGTCTATATTTACATCCACAAATAATTATTTTTACTCACAAAACTCAATATATTTTGATATACAGACAGAATTACGTATGAATAGATATAATTAATAGTTGATATAGTATTGTACACATGTAAACTTAGGCAGACGTGTCTCAAAAATACACAAGTTCACTGCTTTCACTGGGTTGGCCCCAGTAAATCTCCCAAAATATTACATGTCCTATCAGTTGATAAATAATTATTTTTATTTTACATAATTACATCCAACATCCAAAGTCGTTAGTAGTCAGAGTATCCTCCATCCGGCTCGCACACACACTCTTTCCAGCTCCTCAGTTCATCACATCTGTAGTAATTATTAAAGTTCTCCATGATACCTACTCACAGAGAGCAGTGGGCAGCATAAGTGGTGAATGGGAGCCTGTATTTGGCACCTGGTACATCCCCTGTTCCATCAGTCGGCGCTGCTTATTGAGGCGGTTTTAACCTAAGAGGCTTCCCTTGCTTACCGGAAACCTTTGATCTCACTTTGCTCACTTCTTCTTCTTACTATTTTATCATTTCTCAGTTTCACAGCCCTCGCTTTTTCACAAAGTCCCCTGATGTGCATTTTAGTGTGCGACCATGTTGCATCAACAGAAATTTTATGCACACACATCTGCAAATCAGTTGTATATTGAGTTCACACGTTGAACATAGCTAGCATAAGGCTCCACTTCCTCCACATCCTCTGCCTGCTTCAAAAGGAAACATAAACAACATATGTAAAAAGCTGAGCAAAGTGCAGAAAAAACACTGATTAGTGGGGATAAAATACCTACCGGAGGTGATTTGGATGATGTGTCTGTCTGACATTTTCTGAAAAAATTCACATCAACAAGTTTAGTGATGTAAAAACAGAAACATTAGGCAAAAATGTTGATTTGATTTAAGCTAAAAAATAAAAAAAAAATCTCTTTACCTCAATAATATTATTTTCTTTAGTGCATAGATAGAAAAACCTGCCACAAGAATGAAGATTATCCCAAAAATAGGGATGAAGTACCAAATAGGAAGCCCTGCAGTGAGAAATCAAACATCAATTAATGTCAGAAAAACTTCCTAGTGACATGTATCAACAACTCCCTGTTTCATATGTAACGTATTTCAAATGTGTACAACAATAAGCATCTTTAGTTAAGAAACAATCCAACATTAGCTTTCTATGCAATGCACTATGATCTTTGAGTAACACAAGGTGCCAGGGATTGATCAGAAAAGTTATGAGCATCACTAATTAAAGTCTCTATATAAACCACAATTAATATGATGCTGCTTTCAAAAGAGCAACTCAAATCTTGCAGAAATTTTTCAATATTTTTATTCTCTTCTACCTCTTTGTCTGTACTGATCAAGATGAACCAGGAGAACGACAATTCAACCTCTTCACCTATTAATTCAACTAATGTCTATTTGACTCCATTGTCCTATGACAGATTGTGTTTCGAGTAAAGAAGTTGAAAGTAAAATCTACACCATACAAAACGGTAGTGCATCGTGAGCAACTCGCATAAAAGTGACATGACTTGACGTTTCTATTTGGGCCCTCATTTTATGTGTTTTTAAAAGATTGTATTGCATTATGGTTTAAGCAGGAATTAAATACCACTGGTATAAAGACTATATAAAATAGGTGAATTAAGCAAAGAATAAATAAATGACAAACTTAAGCTTAAAAAATTATATCAAATCTTATTCAGCCTAAAGAAGCCTGACCTCTGAATCTGGGTGTGAAAGTTTTCTCCCGCTCCCACAACTGGTGGCGGACAATGCAGGTCAGGTTTTCTGGGTCAATGTCTTCAGGGACCTCCAGCTGACTCTCTACTGTTACAACTCCATCTGGGTCATTCTGCTGTTTCATGGAGTAATTTCCTGTGAGACTCCAGCTGATATTGGCAGCAGGAATCCCTCTTTCAGCTCTGCACACGGCCACCATCTTGTTGCCCCTTCGCTCTAACCAGGCAGATACAGCAGGAGGAGCTGAACCAAAAAGCACAAGAGCACGTTAACATTGTGCCTCTACAACATATCAAAGGCTTAACCACATTTAAAAAATACAACTGTATGATATTTTACTACTTCAGATTATATTAAAAAGTAAATAATTAAATCTTTGTTATCCGCAGTGACAGGAATACTGTGTGAAAATGCTACATAGCATATTTGTGTCATTAAGGTGCTTTACTGATGGCACTTATATTAGCATAAAGTCCTACGTTTAATCAAAACACACTTTTAAGGAGTTATTTTATTTCTCACCTGTGACACCCACTGAAATATTATAATTTTCATTTCCTCCTGTGTAAGCTGCTTCACACCTGTAAGTTCCAACATCATTGACTGAAAAGTTTGGGATGTGCAGGAATGACAGACCCGTTGAGTTTTGTATCGATTTGCCATCATTGCAGGAGTCAACGTCATGACCCTCATGGCTAAAGGAGATCTTGCAGGCTTTGTGTTTCAGTTCAATTTCCCATATAACAAATATCGCCTTAGTCTGAGTCGTGTTGCTGCAGATGAGTCTTGAATCGCTCCCAAGATTGAAGACTTCCTTTCTGTTAACTGCAAAAAATAATAAATCAGATTAGCTTTAGTGATTGCGGAAACATTTTTTTTCTCTTTTTTTTTTTTGACTATCACTACAGAAAACAAAACTTTTACAGATTTACTTTTACAGAGAAATGCTTTATTCCTCCAGAAAAACGATTTCTATCTTAGCAGAACATAAATACCGTATCCAAAAATAAGGTTGAAAAACAAAATAGATAAAAACACATGTTGTTTTCACATTTGTTAGTAGTTTTATTTTTTTCCCAGAAAACGTTTTACAGAATGCAGATTATAGGAGAAAATGACAAAAAAAATCAATTTACCATAAACTTTCACAGGTGAAGTAGTTGTGTTCACAATGATATTTGAGTTAGTAGTTCCTGAGAGAGATGAAGATAGATGTTAGGGGAACAACTGGTGACACAGAGGGATTTTAGGTCAGTATTAGTGATTAGTTCTGAAATGTTCAGGCAGAAAATGAACGAAAAAAAATGTTAGTTAATTCATTTGATCACATTTTCAGCTTGTAAAAACATAGCAAATATTAGAAGTGGTGAGAGAAAGCGTTGTCTCGGAAATGCAACTCCTTTAGAGAACCAGAACATGCATACAAGTCTGTAAAAACAGTCATGAGTATTATTTTAACCAGTTGTGGTTATGATTGGAATCTGCACTAAAACGTTTGTGGCATTACTACAAACCAAAGAAAATGTAATGGAAAAGTTAGAGCTCACTACATGCACATCTGCTGCATAGTCATAAGGCTCTGATGTTTGTTTACTTCTGACAGCAAAACAGTGGCGTACAGTGGGCTGGTAAAACCACAACGTAGAGACCCCCTCAATGGAGAGAAGCTGCATCACTGTGTCACCCTGATCTGAGGACTCGGTTTCCATTGCAGAAGCAACAGGCAGCATGCCGCTTGCTCATTCAGAAAACACGGGCAAACATTTTCCTACTTATGTTGTGGAACAATTCGTTTTTTCTCTTGTCAGCTTTTTGTCCCACCACCATGCATGTTTACTTTCCAGAGGTCGTCTACACTCTGACTCATTTACAAAAAAAATCTCTGCATTATTCTTCCAATAAAAAGAAAAGAGTCAGTGCGTTGGCAGTTGAACAGTCTTGTGGCGACACATATTACTGCGCAAAGAAATTTGTCGAAGTAATTTACAAACAAGTGTTCTGTGAACTAAATTCTTTGTGTTAATTAAAACATACCGAATATGGTTTAAAAAGATAATCACAACTAAATGAAAAAATTTTAAATCAAACCTTGAGCCGTGGCCCATGATGAGGTCAAGAAGAAGATCAAGATATAAATCCACATCTCTGATTTCTTTTTTTAGCAAACGTCGTCGCAGTGATAGTAGCAGTTCTTCAAACCATTGCATCAAGCCAAGATCCTGTGCTCGCTCTCGTGCTATTTCGCTTTCCCTCGACCTTTGCTCTGACGCTCCACTACTTCTTCCACACAAACCAAGAATCCTTCACATGCCTCAAGAAAATGAGGCTTATATATAAGATGTGTGACTAAGCTAATCCCTCCCCTCTTCTTTTTCTTCCCCCTCTCCAAAACTGCTTTCCACTCAAACATCTGCCTTTTTTCTCCCACACAAAATGACGTCTGAGAAGTAAAGACACCAGTTTCCTTTCTTGTCAGTCACATGATTGTGTTTTTTTCAAAGGAGATTGTCAAACATATGGAGGCAGGCAAAAGGGAGTCGAAGCTTTTTATTTTGTATTAAGGTTCCAAAAGCACTTACATGCTTTATTAAATTTTCTTTTTTTCTTTTTTTTTATCTGTAAAAGTAAGAAAGTCCTTGATAGGAACTAAACATAAAATAGATCAACAGAGTTCAGTGCAATGGATAATTACTTGCAAAACTAAATACATCCAAGTGGCAAAAATATGAGAATGTTGAAGATTATAAGATAAATCTGAATCACACCTGAGACAGGATGTTTTTGTTGACTTAGACAGCAATCTAATGTAACTGGAGCACATTATGGTTATTTAAAAAAAGGTAAATCACTTAAGGGTTTGACTTTTAAAGTCAAACACACATTTATGTCTGATGGTTTAATGACAGATGATAAGGAGCTTTGAAATATCGAGGTCAGTCCTAAAACTGTCTCTAAATATGTTCAACTTCACTAATTTAGACCAATACAACTGGTTTAATATTTAGATACTTAAAGATTGCCATTACCACAAGAATGGTGGTGGGGGTGTTATCTTAAAAAAAATAAAAATATGTGTCAAGAACAGTTGAAAGGACTCACCTTATCAACTTATGTAAACGAGAGCTAAGAACTGGTGTTTACTCCATAGAAGAAATTCAATTCACTCAAAATACAATGGACCTTGATGAATTTTATGGATATGAATATGAATTTATCAATAGAAATAATAAAAAAAGGAACTAAAACTTTCAGTTTAACTATTTTAACTTTTTTCTAGTTTTAAAATAGTGGTGGCTTGATTGATCTTCACTCAGTTAGCACAGATTATTTAATTTCACTAGCAAGTTGTGTGTGATGATGTCTCCTCACCCACCTGCGAACTTCAGCTCATCAGAAAGTAACGTTTTCTGGCCAAGAACAGTTTCCAGTTTTCTTAGAAGTCTGACCTTTTGATCTTTGAATCTTTTCCTAAATGCTATGACAAGAAATTAAGATAAACTGTATTCAGATTATCTGACAAGGGTAAAACAGAAAATGAAGTAACTACAATAGCATCTTCATTTATGTATCAAAGATTTGGTCCGTGACCTTTATCTGATTAGACATAAAAGATATTGGGTTCAAGTACATCTGGTTGTAAAAGGAGGGAATCTATATAGTGCTATTATAGTCATACTAATCACTCAAAGTGCTTTATGATGGCGCTACAGTCAACCAATCGCACTTACACATTTTGGGATAAGTGCCTTGCCAAGGGGTACAACACTATATAACACCAAGAAGCTAGAATCCAATCAACAACTTTTAGATTGAAAGACTCTGCCCAAGTAGACACAATCGCCTCATGATATAAATATATTAGTCGTTTCAGGTCTGGTGCTGTGAATGAATAGACAAACATTTTTCAGTATTTGATGGATCAGAGCTGATTGGCCGATTCCAAAATGGTGCTCCTCTAGTTATTGTCTTTTTGAAAATGATGATTGAAAGTCCTGACCTCATTCCAAGACAAAGCTTGCGGAAAGACCCGAGGGAGGAAACCCACAAACAACCCAAATTTCAGTCTGATCTGCATGTGGGGGGAAGGGCTGGAAGGTCTACGAATAAAGGAAGCCGAAACTTATCTCAGATAAACTCATAATAGGACACAAAATGCTGAAGGCAAATACTTTATGTTTCATGTCGCAAACATTATGGGTTGGATCATTTTTCTGGATAAACAAATGACCAAATGTCAAAAGTATTAATCAGAAATGTATTATGTTTGGGTTAATATAGACTTAATCCCATTCCATATTGTTGCAGATGGATATTGTCTTATTGAATTGATGAGGAAAAACTTATGCCAATTGATTAGTATTACAAAACTGAAAGTCTTAGAGAGATTCTTATGAATATGGATGGAAACATGGATGTTTTATATTGATTAAAACATCCTGACTTCCCATATCTTCTAAAGTGGGTTAAAGTTTGATACCTCCTGGCCCCAGCAGAGTTTGTATCCACTTTTTAAATCATAATGTCTATGCAACTAATGTGTTATATCCAGCAATTCAAAAACTTTATGATTCATTTGATAAAATAATGAACTACTCAAGGAACAAAAAATATTTTTTTCTCTGCAATCAGAAAGTATTTCAGTGGAGAAATAGTTTTTGCTGAGTAGGTGCAATGCTAAGCTGGTTGTGGTCTCATATCTGCTGGTGTCAGAACATTTTGCTGTTTAGGAGTCACACTGAGCTGCAAGCATGCAATGTTAATGTGGGTGCAGGCGTTGTAATGTCTCTGCATAGATCACAGATTAATAACTGTCAAAAACAGACGCGGTAGTCATTTTGTGTGTGAGCGGTTAGGGTCTGCAAGCAGCATGCGGACTTTGTGGTTCACGAATGCATTCAGCAATGTGGTGTTATGGTATTAGCTGTCCTATATGAGATGGAAATGGAACATGAATTAGGCTTTCCCTTTTCATCTCTGTTTGAAAGCTAAAACCCAGCATGAAAATTAGATGCACTTTTTTGCAAGAGTGGCTTGCTGTGCTAAAAAATGCACTGCTGTGAATCACTTAAGCAAACCTATTAGAGTTTTATGCTTTACAATCTTAACAGCAATGTGATGAAGTAGCAACTGTGGAAATATTGGCAAGGAGGACAGAAGTCGCTCTTTATAGAAGATCTAATATTAGACTGTTTGTTTTACACATGAGCATTTCAAATTCAGCTGACTGTGAGTTGTCATGCTTCACAAAAAGGGAACTAGCTCTTCCACAGTATTACAAAATCAAGCAAGTCACATCGCTTTAGTCAGCTGGGTTATCCAAACATCCAAACCTAAAAATGGGAGAAAACCATCTGAAAAGCTGATATATAAACTCTAAAACCATAAAAAATAAACATGTTCTCTTAGCTCTCATTGTATGCGCATATTTATGTGCTCCGTGGACCATTTCCCTTTGATAAGAGCAACTTCCTGTTGAAGCAAAAATCAAGCGTTTTTATATACCCAAAATAACCGCCTGCTCTAAAGAGCCAGAGTATCAAACAGCTACTAAATGAAACAACGTGTACACTTTTTACACTGTCTCTGTTTGTCGTTAAATTACTAAACATTAGTTGCAGTTATTTGCTGAATGTCAAAATAATAAGAGACAAAAGAATTTTTTTTTCAACTTTTAAAATTAAAGAGTTTGTAAATATTTTGTAAATATGACTACGGAGAAATGCTTGGTCATATCCTTCCAAGAACTTCTGCAGTAGTTTCGGCCCATTCCTTCAGAGAACTGATGAAAGTGTGTCATGTTTGTTTAGACTGTCTTTCACAACCATTTTCTACTCTGCTCTCAAATTTTTGAAATCGAGCTTTTCTATTGCCACTCCAAAACTTCTTCTTAATTCCACGGTGCATTAACATCAGCCCTGTTCGTCCACTTTAAGTTCTTCTGTCTAGAAAGTCCGGTTCGTTGGGTAGATGTGAATGCGCATCGAACTCCATCAAAAAGCCAACCCTGATCCGTCTAAAAATCCTCAACCTCGATTTGGTTCACTTGAACTCTGACGCAGTTTGAATGCAGTGTGACTACAAGAGAATTGGAGACAGCTCCAAAAGCAGGAAATTAACTATACTGCAGGGCATTCTGGTCAACATATTATTCTCTCCACTCTGTGGGTTAGCTTAGGTGTTGTGTAGGTTGCCTTGGCAAAGCTTGGTTTTTTACTGTAAATCTTTAAAGGAGCAGCATGTTCTAAACATAACTTTTTGTTTTGGCTTTACATCATTTTATAATGTTATTCCCTGATCATAAAAATACCTGCAGTGCTGTTTTTATTCTTTCATGCATTCTTGGGGTTGAGTTTCACATTTTACACCAAAACACTAATTTCTCAGAGACACAAAACTCTTCCCCTTGATGAAATGCCTTAATGTCTTGAGATTCCCATGGTTTTATTAAAGTATTATCTGTAGTATTTACAGTAGGAGTAGTAGAACGATGTCATATCACTGTGAAGTAATTAGCAAATCACCCGCACAACTGTAACAAAATCCAGAAGTTAGTTTATTCTTGATGAAATTGGACCAGATCAATGAGTTTCAGCTGATCTCGTGAACTGATACAGGCAGCTGACTGAACCAACTTAGCTTCACATAAAAACAAGGATATTGTCCTCAGGGACATTAAGGCTTCTCGAGAAATTATAGACAGTTAATATGTCTGAATATAGCCTTCAATCCCACTGAGATAAACACTTTCAGTTTAAGTTTAATTAAATTTCTAAAATCAGCTAAAACATGCAATTAAGTCTGATTAGCTGTAAACCGGTAGTACTATGACCTATTTTACTTCGAACCAGTTTACTGTGATGTGACTTCTTCTTACTATAGGTAAAATACTAATAACTTCACATAATCCTTGCATCAAAATATTCAGAACTAATGCCTTAAAATGAATTGTTTTTGCTGTCTCACATCTTATAGATTAACCTTTAATCAGAAGCTTACAAAGCCAAGATATCATATTCTGGCTTTCTCTTTGTTTAAAGGCATAATACTCATAGTATAAGTATACATTTAAACAGAAAATTTAAAATTATCTAAATAATTCCTTCACTAATTTTTTAAAAGATGCATTTTAGGAATTGATATCAACATTGAGTTTGTAAAGGATAAATCACTAGTCGTAATTCAGATCAACATGACGATTTTTAGGTTTGTTATCTATTATTAAATGTCAGATTACTTTAAAAAGTGACATTTTCTTAGTCATAAATATACATTCCTTATAAAAACTGCAGTAAAAGAAAATATATATCATGTTACTTTGGTACATCGGTATATTTGAGTCTTTTCTAGAGAAGCATCATTAAATACTCAGAAAAAACTACAGAGCATATTCACCTGCAGTGATTAACTCTCAAAATTATTCTGCCTCGCTAAACCACACAATGATAAAATTCAGCTCAGTTTATTTAAATAATAATTATTTGCTGTACATGTCATCTCAAGGCACTTTGCACAACAGAAAAACTGCAACTCAATCCAGTTAATTATTCCTAGCTGATACTTATTATTAAACAGTGCAGACAAGTTCACTTTATTATTCAAATTAGTTAAAAGATTTTCAGTATCAGGAAACTGAGCAGCATGCTTCACGTCTTTGACTTTGCAGCAGTCCCTCATGCTGAGCGTGCATGTCAATCAGTTTCTCTGCATTTTTAGATGGTATCGTTTTAATCAAATATTTTTAACCTCCTTTGGCAGATAATCGAAGGAACAACTACAGATTTGGGTTCAGTTATTTACTTCCTCTAAACATCTTTGTAACAATATTACAAAGTTTAGAACTTGTTAGTTTATATTTCTGCTTCTTAAAAAAAAGTTGTGTTTTTAGGAATTGAAAACAATCTATGAACTTTGTCTCTGGGATTTTATGCCGAATAAATATCTACCTAAGGCTTTAGGTAGATAAAGCCTTAGGTAGATATACACCTGTATTAACAGGTGTATTACAAGGAAATATTACATCCTCCATTATAATTCTTTTAAATAAAGAGTTTAACAGTTCAAAACTGACCACATCCGATGGATACTTGCGTTGAATAAAAGTTTTTAATTACCTGACAGTAGAAGAAAAGTGCAATAGAACAGAGGGTTCTGGTGAATACTGTTGGTATTACAAGTTTCTTCTGTTTTGGTTTAATGTCATTGAATTTGTCACTGCATTTCAAAACAAAGATAACCTGAGTAAATATAATAATGCAGAAAACATTGGTCAGAGCCATTCTTCACAAGTGCTGAAAACATTTATCAATGGTAAACCTTCGCAGGAGTTTACCATTCTGTTGTTGAAAACAATTAAGCTTTGATTGCTTTTCTAATTTGCTGTTGTAGACCTACAAATGTTTGTTTGTGGCATATAATGTGAATTAAATATATAACTTGAGAATTTCTTTCTTTCTAATCACTCCCTCCTTTCAGAAATCTAATGTTCAAAAGCCACGTCAAAAGCCACGTCAAAAGCCTGACATGGCTGGTTAGTATTAAAATTAATTTCCACACTTGCAAGTCTACTAAAGTTGCTCAGAGAGGTGCTGACTGCATTTAAGATATTGACTTTTCATAGACCCTGAGTAATTTTGTCAAGGGTGACAAAATATGACAGCAAGCTGATTTTATAGTCTACAGATGACAAAGCCTGGCTGTGAAACACATACATGCAGCCAACAAACCAAACTGTTGACACTTAGTCAAAATGTCACCATCAGAAGTTTCCATAGCAGACTTTATTGACAAGCTGCCTTTTACTTACTTACCTTTTACATGAGACAAAACACAACCGAAGTAAACCTCTGTCACTCACTTTTCTCAACAGACTTCTACTTTTATCGGTATGAATACCAAAGACAGGAGGAGACAGAAACTGTTGTCGCTCTACAGATCAGACATCTGAGGGTTTCTGGCTTTTAAAATTTTCCAGCCCATAACTTTACGGTAACTACCGTGGGCAATTCAGATACAGTACAGGTTATCAGGTTTACAATGAGGTTAACAGGAGTATACTGTTGTGGGGGACTTGATTTGTTTTTCACACTATGTCCTGTCCGCCCTACCTTTTTCTGTCCAGGATGAAACAGAAGTGTTTGCCACATTTCTTTGCAAGAAGAGGTGGGAGGAGAATAGAAACAGCTGGTTTGATTACAAACGAAATCTAAAAGTGAATATTCTGCTGGACAGCAACAACAAAAAGGAGAAAAATGTAAAAATATAAAAGACACAGAAAGTCCGATAACTAAAACAAGACTACAACATTTGTACATCAAACACTAATACGTGATGCTGTTATTGATGGACACATTCATGATGTTTATGAATTGAGGTGTGAAAGACGAATGCTGGCATCCAGCTGTCTGGTTACACAGATTTTCTTGGTCTTACTTCTAAAGTTTTAAACTCATTGCTGTTACTGAATATATTTGTCACTGAATTGAAGAGGCTGTGGATAAATGCACATAAATACACTCTTACTTTGACTAAGTCAAACTCAGGACAATTTTTTTCTCTTTTCCATCCATTTAATTTCTGTCTCCAGTGATGAATAATTTTCTGTCAGTGTTCAATATACTAGAAAGTTTTGGAAAGATAGGAGAAAAAAAAATCATGATTTTTAAGAAATTGCTGAAATGTAGCACTTTGATTGGACCTTTTAAAAGCCGTCCCAGATTTTGTTCTGTTCACGATTCTTTGTTAAATGAGTCAGTGATTGTCCTGGATGGTTTTAATTCAAAATTACTCACACTACCAATCTGTTGTGAATGGAAAGATTTTACCAAAAAACAAAGTAGAAAAGACCCTGCAACACTTTAAACTTGTGGCCTTGTATTATCTAAATTACTTATTTTTGCTTTAATATGCATATCAGTCCTCTTTATGAACAGATTTCCAAACATAGATAAAATAAATGTTTTCTAAAAATCCAGTTAGAAAATCATTAGATGGGTGACAGTAAAACTATTGTCCAATCATTATTAGATGCAATTTCTTTCTTTCATTAGATTATCAGCTGATTCCAATAATAACGCAGTCATGTGACAAATTGTTTCAGATAAAACAAGTAAAATGCAGCACATTTATCAACAATCTATAGGATAATAATTTGATGCCATAAAAAAAACTGTGTAAAACTGAAAGCCGTCTATTCAAGACTTGATGAACTCAAATCCCTGCAGCTATACTGCCCCCTTTTGATCATTTTCATTTAACACATCCTTTTGGTTAACTGATTAAAGATAATATTTTTTTCCCTAGATATTTGACATTTTTGCACAATAACGTTGTAAAAAGGTTAAAATCATTTGTTTTAAAACAATAAGCTTTAATTATTGACCATATCACAGAATAATGAAATTGCCAGAGAGAAATTAGCTTAAAAATGATTGAAAAAACAAACTGAACATCTCTATGCTCTGATTAGATGCTTTAACATAATATAAAAGCTAAAAATTAACTTTTAGTAGAAGGTCTAAACCTACACGTAGACCTTCTACTAGCAAATAAACAAAACAAACAAACAAAAGCTTATATAAATTTGTGTCTGATGGATCTTCCTGGCTGGAACAGGAAGAGAAACTATTTATTTAATTACTGACTGTTTCAAGGCTAAAAACTTATAAACTACAGATGAAGTATCATTACCAAACTGATAATGAGGGTTATTCATTGTTTGTGTGACACATTTTAGTCATTGCTTAATATACCAATTCACTAATGAGGCTACGAAAGAAACTAAATATGTTGCACTGGAATGTAAACAGAAAATATCATCACAGATATTGACACAGCAAAGATTTAATAACATGCATCTGAAGTGCAATGGCTGTCATTGACACAAAGAAGAGCAGGAGGTTATCCATCAAATAAATCATTTTTAAGAATTAATGAAGAAAACAGGTGAAGAAGCTGAGCCTGTACTTAAGTCAAAGATTTGCTTGATGGGCAGGTTTAGTGTGACACGACTGCTATGAATGAGAACCTGTGTTTTTGATACAGGTTCTCATGCCAGCATTAGTCTTTCACACCAGGCACACGGCCACCAGGTTGGCTAATTCTGTCACCATGAACATCCATCGCGCTCCACTGATTGTGTTTTCTGTTCCACAAATCCTCTTCATATCCAATATTATCCAACGTAAATCAAAACAATGCAGCGAACTCTGTTTGCTCCTTCTGAGCAACAAATTTACACAGTTATTAACACCTTCTGGCACAAAAAAAATGGCTGCCATGACATGGTTCCTGGTGATGAATTGATTTAGAATCACTGCTGACATCTCCTGCCAAAAAGTTGCAAAAATTGAAGAAAATGTCAACAAAAATATTTAACTGAATGTGCAGTGCAGAATTTAAGTAGAGAAAACTCACCGTTTTCTTAAAACAAAAATCAGTAATCCTAAAATGATTACAATGAAAACCACAGCAACACGTATCCACAGCATTGACACTGTTGACAAAGAATGAACGTTTTTTAACAATATTTTCATACCTGTCACCACTGCATAACAATTTACGAATTTACTATCATAAATAAAAATTGTCCATCGATCACTTAACACTTGTATCAAAAGAAAACTTTATGTTATCATTCAGTGCATCAAAACTAAACTGAACTGACCTGACCTCTGACCTCCGAATCTGGGTGTGAAAGTTTTCTCCCGCGCCCAAAACTGGTGGCGGACAATGCAGGTCAGGTTTTCTGGGTCAATGTCTTCAGGGACCTCCAGCTGACTCTCTACTGTTACAACTCCATCTGGGTCATTCTGCTGTTTCATGGAGTAATTTCCTGTGAGACTCCAGCTGATGCTGGCAGCAGGAATCCCTCTTTCAGCTCTGCACACGGCCACCAACTTGTTTCCCCTTCGCTCTAACCAGGCAGATACAGCAGGAGGAGCTGAACCAAAAACCACAAGAGCACGTCAATATTGTGCCTCTACAACATATGAAAAGGTTAACCATAATACAAAAATACAAATGTACTGTATTTTAATAATTAAGAATACAATCAAAAGTAAATGGTTAAATGATTATGTTATCCAAAGCGACAGTAACACTGTGTTTGAAAATACTATATGGCGTATTTGAGACCTTGAGATACTAGCAAAAACTGTGTATGATGAGATAGTTATGACATTGACATAGTGATAATATTTGTATGAAGTCCTACACATATTCAAAACACACCTTTAAAAAGTTAATTAAGCTCTTACCTATGACACCCACTGAAATATTATAATTTTCATTTCCTCCTGTGTAAGCTGCTTCACACCTGTAAGTTCCAACATCATTGACTGAAAAGTTTGGGATGTGCAGGAATAACAGACCCGTTGAGTTTTGTATCGATTTGCCATCATTGCAGGGGTCACCGTCATGACCCTCATGGCTAAAGGAGATCTTGCAGGCTTTGTGTTTCAGTTCAATTTCCCATATAATAAATATCGCCTTAGTCTGAGTCGTGTTGCTGCAGATGAGTCTTGAATCGCTCCCAAGATTGAAGACTTCCTTTCTGTTAACTGCAAAAAATAATAACTCAGATTAGTTTTATTGATTGGGATTTTTTTCTTTTTCTGTTCATTTTTTTGACTATCAGTACAGAAAACAAAACTTTTACAAATTTACTCATGTGAAAATGTTAGATTTCTTTGAAAAAACGATTCTTAGCATAACATAAACACTTAGCATTACCAAAACATATGTTTTCACATTTGTCAGTTGCTCTTTTCCTGAAATATTTTACTGTTTGCAGATGAGCAGAGAAAATCAGAAAAATATAAATTTACCATAACGTTTTACAGGTGAAGTTGTTGTGTTCACAATGATATTTGAGGTAGTTGGAGTTTCAGTAGTTCCTGAGAGAGACAGAGATGCATGTTATTGAAATAACAATAGATAAATAGAATTCATATTTCTTGAATTTCTTTCACTTTTTGTGAAGCATTTTCCCCAAGTTTAAAAAATCTCACAAAGAATTGTTCAGTTCGTCATCTGAAAATGCAAACAGCACGACACAACCGCAGCACAATTACAAATAAGCACAGGAATGTTGTCTGCCGAAACCGACAGAGTTAGCAAGGAGAACATTAAACAGCGAAACAGCCAATAATCATATCATAACTCTGGATGAGATGCAAAGATCCACAACTCAGGTTGGAGAATTTTTCAGTCAGACAACTATTTGTCCTGGACTCCATAAATCTGGCAATACAATCAAATATCAAGAAGAAAACAATTATTCCAAAAAAATCTAAGTAGTTAAGCTCATGAAATTTCTTTAAAATTACATAAGAATATGATAAAAAACCATTTTTGTAGTTGCTGGCATTCCTACTCCACTGAGCTACATCCTTTTAACGTAACATGTCTCTAAGCATGTTTTTGACAGACTGTGTTGGTAGAAAGTATATGGGATGTAGACTACAAGTACAATTTGTTAAGCACTGAATTTCCCCAAGAAACTAAATAATCGCGTAAGTTAAAAATAGATTTCAAACCTTGAGTTAGAAACCATTCCTCAGACAATAAAAATATCACAACATAAATCCACAATTTGTGCATCTTCTTCTTGTCTTTGGGTTCCTTTGTGGGATTGTTGCGATAGTGGTTCCTACACGTCAAGTGAAGCCTTTTAACTACCGCATGCACTTCCTGTGTTGTCACGTCGCTCATCGTACACCTACACAGGATGAATCTCATGTCTAGAAACAGCAGTTTTATTTCCAGCTTGTTGCATTAGTATCTTCTTTTACAATAGTGTGAAACCTGACAGTAAAATAACATAAGCAAGCTTGAAGACTCTAAAGTTAATATAGGGCCTTGGACAGTGGTCTGTTTTACAGCTACAGCCTTAGATCAACTCAGTCCTCCTGGACTGTCAGCAGCAGAAACAGCAACTTTATACCTGTTGGGGAAAATATACTACATTTGGTTTGCATTGTCCCCACATGATGGGAATGATATAGTATGGTCCATTTAGATTCTTGATTAATATGGGTTGTTGCTATGTTGTTATACGGTGTTTTAAGATCTTGTTCAATGTGCCCATTTTTAACTATGGAGAGCCAAAGCTCTCTGCACAGCCCTGAGTCTAAAGGTGACAACCAAAAAGTCCCTTGCAGTGAAAGTTTATTTACAGCATTCCAAGCAACCTTATTCATGACATGTCAGTTTATTACCTGCATAAGAAGTCAAAGCATCCCCATTAAAAGTTCCAAGGAATAAAGACATTGCTTAACAATTGTTTTTTTTTTTTTTTTTGTCAAACTTAATTGGCGATTTGCAGTTTCCATAAATCATTTCTCAGTGTAATAAGCCATTAGCGATCATAGAGTTAACTGATAAAAGGAACGGAGTGGTTACATTCTCCACGTTTTTTTGCAGACTTTGTGGTGAGTACATGTTGCAATGAGACATCTGTGCACTTCCCCTGAGAAGAGAAAATAGGTCATACACTTTCAAGTGAAAAATTAACCACAAGACTTATTCAACAACTATGTATCATTTTTTCTGACAAAACAAGGAATAAATTACCAAAATGCAAAGTGCTATGTTTGGGGAAAACCCAACACAGCACATCAACACAAGTCATTCTTAGCAGCTTTCAAGACAGTTGGCAAATATTTACATGATTATGTTAAAAACCCTACAAAATTGTTGTGAAAAATAAATTTCTCTGTAATCTTATTCAGCAAATCTGTCTGAATTCCTTATGTGGTATGATAACAAGGAACTTGGAAAACAAAACAAAAATCCCAAGAATCAAGATAAAAGTTCAAAAGACTTTAATGAAGAAAATGTGCAGTAAAGCGCTCAAAGAACAAATCCCTCTGCTCAGTAGAGCCACAGATGTGCTTTAAAGAAGTAGACTAAAATCAAACAGCTCAGAATGCTTTCAGTCAGCAAGTGAAGTAATAAAAAAAGTAAAAGTTCTACAGGAAATTGTGTCATTTCTTCATCACCCTTTATCAGATAATTGATTAGTGTCAGCTAACCCCAGACCTTATAGATGTTGGTTAATAAGTGTTTGAAAAATGTTATAGAACTATGTATTTTGCAGACGATTGGTCGTATTGCTCACAGAGTTCTTGTTTCAGCTGATGCAGGTGAATTCTAAAAACCTGGTCTCTGATTTGCAACATTCCTTCTCTTTAATGTTGCCCAATATCATATTTTTATTCTCACTTTATGAATCTCACTATGTCATCACTGCTCTGTTCTTTGGTGGTACAAATTTTGGATGCGTGGGAAATTAAGTGGAAGATACACACAAGTGGGAAAAAAATTACTTTACGAAAAATAAGTAGTGCTTGGGGCCAGTGAAGATTGACTTGCCATCTGATGATTGTTCCAAGTTTTGTAATAAAACACTAATGATGATCATCAGTCTTTCTCCCATTTTGGTTGTTGTCCAGGTCCAACTGACAAAAAAACGAAAGTAAAAAACACAAAGACAAAAAAAAAAAAAAAAAGAAAATATTATTCCAAAGGTTCTGGCAGAATTGGACAACATACATTTCTGCTTGTTTTGTGAGGTAATTCCCTAAATTAACTCAAATTAACTTTCATGTCTTGTAAAAGCAGAAAACAGCCTACCGCTGGTATTTTGGGTTATGAAGTGTCATGTGGAGAACAGCGGCTGGTCGAGAAAAAAAGAGACCATAAATGTGATCACATTTTATTTTAGATACTGGGTAAGGAAAGAAAATTTAATAAATCGCTCACCATTTCTTTAGTGCTAAAAGAAAGACTCCTGCTAAAGTTGAAATGATCACCAAAGTGACACGTATCCACAATAGAGATGAATTTGCTGTAGGAGATACAAAGAATAATTAACACTGACTATGTTACTAACAATGAAAGTTCTAACTAAGAAATACAGAAATGTAAGTAAACAGTTCACTTCAGTCTGCAAAACTCTGACCTTCTCTGAGTTTCGGCACCAGAATCTTTTCCTGATCCCAGAAACGGTGCTGGACAATGCAGGTCAGTTCTTCTGGACCGGTGTCTTCCTGGAGCTCCAGATGACTCTCTACTGTTACAAATCCATCTGGGTCCAAATGAGTTTTCACTGCAGGCTCTGAGCTGCCTCCATAACTCCACCTTAAGTTGGCAACTGGTGTTCCTCTTTCAGCTCTGCACAGCGCCACCAGTTTGTTGCCCTTCTGCTCCAACCAGGCAGATAAAACAGGAGGAACTGAATCAAGGAAGGCAAAAACATAATTAAGTAAAACCTAATGCATCAATTTAAGAAAACTTTCAACCTAACTATGCCAAATTTTTGGACTGTTCTTTCTGAGGATTGGTCAATTATGCAAACTGTAGAGTCACATAAAAGTTCATTCTTTTTATTATGGAAGGTAAAAAGTCAACATTGTGTATCTACATGTTTTTGTCTGTTAAAGTTCCTCAAGGTTCTTATCTTGGAAATTGATTTAACTAAAAAGGCAATTCAAAATCACTTCTCACACTAAATGACCTACCTGTCACAGCCACTTTAATGTTATAGTTTTCATTTCCTCCATTGTAAACCGACTCACACTTGTAGAGTCCAGCATCATCAGCTGAAAGGTTTGGGACGTGCAGATACAACTGACCGGTGGAAGTCTTTTGGAGAGATTTTCCATCTTTGCAAGAGTCAACACTTTCGTCGTCATTTACAAAGGAGATCTTGCAGTTTTTGTTTTTCAAGTGTATCTCCCAGATTATAAATACGATGTCAGCCCTGGTCTTGTTAGTGCAGCTCAGGTTAATGTTGGTCCCAAGATTGAAAGCAACATCTCTGTTAACTGAGAAAACAATTTTGGTGATTAAATGGTTAATTGCTTAATATTACTGTTTAAAATCATTTATGAAACATATGTTACTCATGCATGAACAAACACACAAATCATCTTTGTGTTCTTTTAACACAAAGAGAAGTCATGAATGCTCTGGAGAGAGCCATCAAGCTATCCACAGAAAGGATCCCATCATTGCTGGATAAAAGACATGGATAGGTCATGACCAGCATTTCTTTGCCACATGTCTGAACGTTGTGTTATTATAAAAATTTGATATAAAAGTCACAATTCCTAGTTTTTCTCTACCACATTTTCCATTGTTAAGAGATTTTTCTAAGCTTACCTTCTTGCAGTCACCTCCTAACCTCACTATATATATGTATATATGGAAATATATACATATATGTTTGTGGCGTGTGTATATATCCATGTGTATTTCTTTATAACCACAGTGTGATCTTCTATGGGCTGTTTCCAGCATGAACTACGTCTGACAATCTCAAACTACCTTCTTAAACTTTGTCATGCGTTTATGGTTTTCCAGTTGCCTCCACAGTCACAAGATTTCAGTACAAGAAGATTCTTGACACAACAGCTCCATTTCTATTTAAATAAACATTTATTAATTGATAACATTCCTAATGTTGAATAAAAGTGCAATTCATTCTCTCAACCTGGAAAAGTAATGTGAAAAATGAGATACAAAGAAGGCTGGACTGCGTTGTTGATTTTTTAAAAGAAATATAATAGCAGACTTTTTTTTATGGAAGGTAAAAAGCCCTTCCAAAAGAATTTTGAAATGATTAATTTCTATAACTATGTCAAAATTAAATACAAGTGCATCTAAAGGATTCTGAGTGATACTAAAATGTTTCATATCTATAAGTCAAGTTATTAATTGGAACATGGCATTTCTATTTATAACAAACAGACTGATATTTTCAAGCCTTTGTTTCTCTTAAGTCGAGTTTCTGTTCATGCTGCACTAATGAAAGCACAACATAAATAATTAGAAAATTACATCAGACCGTTAAAAACAACATTCTTACCATGAAGTGGGTTTTTACAAAAAGAATGTTAAACCCCTAAAATTAAAGGCTATTTTCTACATGTGCTTTTAAACACACCAGCTTCATCGGAGCGTAAATTCTGAAGCGTAAAGAACATGAAGCATTTCAGTTACAAGTTTAAGGTGTCAATAATCCAAACCTGCATCTTGAGACCATGCTTCAAACACGGAGATGACCACAGTATAAATCCATGTCCTGCACGACCTCTTTGTTCGCATTTTTGTGTACCTTTGTCTTAGGTATGCTTGCCAAACCTCAAAACCTTCGAGATAGTCTGTAAATGGCCACATAAGACCAAGCTGTTTGTATTTCCTGAGCTTTGAAGCCAGCAGGTACACTCCCACACAGAATGACGTGTCACATTTGAAGATGTGATCTACCAAATATGCAAGAACACATTAGTCTAGTCTAGCCCATGTTTTAAAGTGTTTTCTTAAATTACTAACATAATTGTTTTTTAAATAATTGTTTTTATATAAAAAATTGCAAACCTTTGTAATAAGATTTTGAGTCAGAAAGGCCCAGTTTATTATTGTAAAGGTTGCCAAAATCTATAAATGTAGATGAGGAAGAAGTGAGTTAGTGTTTGCAACCCCAACCTCCTTTCAGTGGTTTCCTATATTATGCACAACTGAGTGTCAGATGTGTTTTTTAAAAAACTTTTTATCAAGTGAACTTGTTCTGAATATAACAGATGGTAGATATCGCAAAGACCACAAGGGGGAAAAATATTCAAAGTACTATATATATTATAATTTCTCTTGATGTCATCTGTGAGAATGTTACTTCACAATTTTGGATGTTTATTCCCATCAGGACCAGTTGCACTTTCAGTTCAGTGAATTAATTGTCTCTATTCGAGAGAGTAAATAATATAATTTTTCTTTGTAAGCCATGTAATATTCAGAAGGTTAACAGTAAAAATGTATGCTAATCTCTCTGGATTCAACTGAATTGTCTTTGTAAAGTGTCTTGAGAGGTCATTTGTGAATCAAGATTACATTAATAAAATCTAATTAATTTAACTGAATCTAATGTAAAGTTGAGAGCATTATGCTTTAGCCTACTGTTAAAGTAGAGGCTTAGGGTCACAAATTAATGAATAATTATAGACATGCACTTCAACACCAGGAGCCCATATGCAAACAGCGATTCAGTCAGCCCCCTTCATGGCTATATAGGTGAAGGAAATTAAAAGAATGTGGCTATTTATGTCAACTTTACTATTTATTTATTCATTTATTTATTTATTTATTTTGTGTAGTAAATTTCTTAATCTGGGACCTGAGTTCGACAAACAAGCAAGGTGGTATAATAGCAAAAAATCCATGAATCCTTGAAAAAAGATGCTGATTAGAAAAAGTTATCCTATTTATAAACACATGATTAAAATCTATGCTTCTTCAAGTGTATTGTGTTTCTTTCTAATTATCATGAAGCCATATGTTGTGTTGTGTTACGTTATGTTATGCTAAATTATGTTGTGACACAACAATAAACAACTTTTTTTTTTTTTCTTTTCTGTCTGGTTTAGTCCAAGTCATCTTTAGCAGTACAAATAGAAAAGTCGCTTGAGAGCCAAGAGAAGGGGTCAATGTTGGTGAACTAAGCCAAATGAGTCGGATCCCAGAAAATAAACGCATTTCCCATCAGGACACCGGAAAAGCACTGAGACTCCTCCCCCTTTCTTGACCTTCAGTTTTGTCGTCTCCATGGTTACAGCGCTGAACGTTTAGACGCCGCTGCACGCACGCGAATTGGGTTGAGGCAAATTTCCCACTAACAAGATGAGCTGCTCTGTCACCCAAACTGTTAATGAGAACACAGATAATTTTAAAACTGCTCTAACTAGGCGGGCTTCTGACCGCTTACATGGTGAGTAAATGTAGCTAGAAGAACGTTTGATAGCATAGACGCTGCAGTGAGCCGGCTAACAGTCATTGGACCTTTTGTGACAGGTTCAGTTCGCCACAAGCCCAGGCTGAGGGCTTACACAACAAAGGAACGATTTGTGAGTTGATACCACACAAATGTGGTGGATGTAGGACTGACTTTTATTGCATTTTAGTTTATTTATAACCTTGATTGATTATTTACAATCGTGCAGGCAGTTTTTAAATATCGATTAAATTGGTGTCTGATACAATTTTCCAATGTGATGCTTTCTAAATCTTGTGCTGCAGACTAAATGACAATAAAAGGCTTTTGGCCATTTTTATTTTAGTTTAATCTAAATTGGAGACAATTTAGTATCCAATTTTTTTGCTGAGGCTGGAAGTGTACCTATTAGGCCTTCTTTGATGGGACCCATTTTGGTTGAGCAAATCCATATCAGCAAAACGGATTGAACATACAAAGCCTTTCAATAAATTAGAATTCTGAAAATGTAATTTATTTTATTGACTCAATTCACTTAATGAAACACATTATATAATTTAATTACCCAAAGATGAATGTGTTCAAAGCTCTATTTTTGTTAGTTAAGATTATCTTCTTGCAGTTAATGGAAACACAACATTTAGTATTAGTGCAAAATAAAACATCTTACGGCATTGTGAATAGGTTTTTTTATGTTTCCAAATGCAGTACCTGATATTTTTCTTTTGATCTCACTCAGGCAAAACTAAATGACTTCAACTATATGTTTAAAGGTGAGCCATTGCTCACCTTCAAAACGGACCCAGCAGAGCCATTGCCGTCCTCTGATTACCGCTGGCAAGCACAAGCTGAACGGCGCAGGGAGACGCTGCGGCAACTGGCTGGGTGAGTAAAATGGGCGGTTTCGCTCTGTCTGGCCACAGTTTAACCATGCTTTTTCTGTGTTCTGGTTGTGATTCTGAGTCATCTCTTTGACAGGATTCATCCAAACCCTCAAACATGCCTTGTGACTGGAGCTGACTACTGGAAATACTACAAACGGTTGGGTTTTCCATTACACATTTTAATGTTTTGATTTAATGCTGCGTATATATAACTTGCACTAAGACAGGAAAACAAATTTAAAAAATAAAGATAAACTCACTCACTGGTATTATTGTCTGTATTTCTTGAGGTCAGACCCACCAATTCCACTGTCAATGGATGCATATTTTGATCCTTCATAACATATATAAAGAAAAACAATTGTAGTCGTTTTCTTGATAGATGTACCAGTGAAAAATAAAGTTTATTTAATTATCTCACCAAGCCAGTTTGAGCCTCATTCTTTACATCAATCAACTCTATCTGATTTTTATAAAACTGTAAAAAAGTGTATCAACGTATCTGCCTTTTAGTTGATGTGTTTATAGACTGAAAATGGTGGGAGGTCTTGGTTTTAATGCATTTAATCAAAGTTTCAAATGTTTAGTCGCCGATCTGACAATCATAGATTAAGGTCGGTCAAAGAAAGATGGTTGATTTCAGTCTCTGACAGTGAATGCTTCCTTAAACACCGATATGACATATAATACATATTTCTCTCATCTAGGCCTTTGATTCCATTTGAACAAAAGTTTCCAGCAGATGTTGTTTTTGAATTTACAGAGTAAGTTGCTCAAGATTTTTTGTTTTGTTTTGTGTCAGTGGTTTATTTCTGTTTTAGCAGTAAGCATGCTCTCTCTTTGATTGTAAAATCTCTGCAGGGAAGAGTTTATTACCACTACTAAGGAGCATGTGCCTACTAAGCGCTCTCTGGGAGTTCAGACAGACTACAGAGAAAGTGAAACCCAGACTGACCCGTACAGTCCTGAGTATGTGGTGCAGCGTGGGATGACACCCACAGAACTCCTGCAACTGGCAACATTGACTTGGGGTATTAGCTCAACTGACCTGATCCCAATGCCACAGATTTCCATTCTCAGAGCCGCACAATGCAGCTTATCTCTGCCTCGCAGGTCACGGCTTGCCGGCAGGCCTTCGTGAGGTGGAAATGATAGAGCGAGCACGTGAAAAGCGAATTTGGGAGACCACCCTTCCTCCTCGCCACGACGTGACCCAGATCGAAAAGAGGAGGCGCATGATGGAGGAAATGGAAGCCAAGGAGTGGGCTTTCAGGGAAAGTGAGATTGAGAAGTGAGTTGCTGTTTTCTTCAAACGCGTTTTTGTTTTTTTCACTTGACAATATAAACAATAACCAGACGTTTCTATTGGAGGTGTTATTTTGTTTCTCTTTTTGAAAAAAAAAAAATCTACTAAAATCTACAAACTGGTGTGTCAGATTAAAATATTTATATTTATAGTGTACCCCCTCTTACCAGTTTGTGGAGTTATGTAGTTCTGACATCTACTCTACAAAAACACAACAAACGACTCATCTGTTGTTATTTGTAGTACAAACATGAAGCCAGAATGGGAAAGTGGGAAATTTGTTGAGTTTTGTTTCTTGAGTCTACATTTTAGAACCTGTTTTTTTAGAACCAGATCTGTTTAGGTTCTCACGTAGAAAAGTCTTGAGTTTGAAAGATAATGCCCCTTTTTTTTTCTATGATTGAATTTAATTCTTTAAAGTAACTTTCCCAACTCAGGGTTCTTTTGGGCTTGTTTTTGCTTTTTTTGTTTATGCTCCCTAGTTTTCAGAAACTAAAGTCATCATTATTTCTTTGCTGAGCAGAGTGCAGGAGACCCGCCTTGCTGTGCTGGAGGAGCTGCTGAGGCAGAGAGATGAAGCTCAGAAGGATACTGCATATGACCGACTAACCCAATTATACGCTCAGCACCTGAAGGACAGGGAGCGCAAGCTAGAGAAAACCCACCACCAATACATGAGATGTAAGACATCCCAGAGGTTTGATGAGAACTACACATTAATGAAGGCTTTTCATCGTTCTTCACTCTCACTCTTATGTCTACAGCACTTAGAAAACTGGAAACTAGGAGGAAAAATGTGGAGGGAAAATTTCTGCGACGGGACATCGTTACTGATTTTCAGACTCACAATGACAAGTTCCCTTATGGCAATATGAAAATGTTCAACAGTGACTACATAAACACATATGAAGGTCTGATTAAGAATCTTAGCAAATGCTACTGCAGACACTCAGAGCTGGTGTATTGTTACAGTATTTACATTTGACCATACATAGGCTTACAAGAGCTAGAGACAGGACTCGAGGCATCACTGCAACAAGTGATGAAACAATGGAGAGACATTAAGAGCAGAAAGAAATCTGCCGCACAAATAGCAGTGGAGCTACTGGAGGAATACAGGGTAAAATAAAGCTTAGTGAGTGTATCATGTAACATCTGCTTCCATACTCATTACAAATTGTGGTTAAACAGGCTATCAGGGACGAGGAGGGCAAGGAGGTTGCAGTGAAGGACCGCCGTTTTCCGATTCGAAAAGAGAAGCCACTTCCTACTCCTCCCGTCACTCCACCCGTGGATATTCCCTCAGAGGTTAGTTAATCACTGTTTGTAATTACTTCTTTTTTTAACTTGTCAATTAAGAAATTGCATAAGTCTTCCAAAAATCTTTAACGCGTGTTTTGTTGCAACTACGAACTTTAATGTTTGTCATTGGAGTTTTATGTGAGTGGAAGTAAAACAATTTGTGACTTTTTTTTTTTGACAATTTAATTTGAGTGTGCATATTGATTCATCCCCCTTTTATTCTAGTACTCCGACATTAGTAAGTCCAGTCTAACCAAGTGCTTTCAAAAGTCACCCAGTTAGTCAAAAAAAAAAAAAAATCTTGACCAACCTATTTAGTAGCCTCAATAAACCATACAGAGAAAACAACAAACATTTGGAAGAAATGTTAGATGAGACAAGAATGTAGCTTTCTCAACTACAAGTAAAACTTTATACTATTGCTGTATTAGAAATTGTATTTGTGAACTGACTTGTCATTCTTCATAAAGGAGGATGAGAAAACAGAGATTGCCATCATCTTTTTGCAGAAGCTACTTAGGGGAAGAAGTATCCAGTTTGAGGTCGGTATGAGCTGGCACTATGCCTCATGATTTTCGAAGTTCCTCTAGAAACTTTTGCATGCGTTTTAGTAAAAAGCATGCAATACATCCATCTTCAATTTGTGACATCATCTAGATCTTCAAGGGCAAAGAAAACCAGCTGGAACTCATCAGGGAACTTAGGAAAGTTCACGCTCTGCAGGCTAGGGAGCAGATGCTGCAGGAAGCAGAAAAAGACTACATACTGATGCTGAAGAGAGAGAGAGATCAACAGATGGAGAAGGTGAAGCTCATTGCAGCCAGTCATAAGCGATACAAGCTCAGCACTGATCCTGTCGCATTTGGACTCCCTCCTCCGTAGGCCGCGACGAGGGAAGCGCGTCAGGCCGCGGTGATCGGTGTGGACCTCGCGCAGGTGTTCTTCATCTTGTCCCAGGAGTTGATTCATCTGCAAGAGGAGCGCAGGATCCATGCTTTCATGCTCCTGGCTGAGAGAGAGCGCCGTCGAAGGGAGGCGGAGGAGAGCGGGAGGCGTCAGGTGGAGGAGCGCAGGCGAGAAGAACGAGACGAGATCTTCAGAGAAGTTAGTGCCATCTTGTATGATATTATAAGAAAATACGCTATACTGAAAATAAGATATTTTACATCTTAAAGATTTCTGATTACGTCACCTTGCAATATTCATTGTATTTTATTGAGATTTTATTTGATGAACAAACATGAACTAGTGCATAACATTCAAGTTGTGGATGATAGTAGTCTGAAAAGTGAGACTGAAACAAAGCCTTTTAACCCCATGATGCTAGATCTTCATGGTGCTCATAATGTTTAAGATTGTGAGGTTTGAGGTATTGATTAGTTGTTTGTTCCCATCTGAAATATGTAATAAAACAATGTTGAAAATCTCTACAGCTTTATAGTCACTTAACACATAAAACTTTGATGTGTCAGATTGTGCAGGTGCACCAGGAAAGTGTGGATATGTATTTAGAGGACATGATTTTGAGAAATGTGGACTATTTGGCTGAACAACAAGCCAGAGAGGATATCCACAAGAAGGCACAGCAGCTCAATGACATTGCTTACGCCATGGAGGAAAGGTAAACTATGACTTAAGTGTGTCTGTTCAAACTTTTTATTCAGAAATTATAACCAAAAAATAATAAAACGTGCATATATTTTCTGTAGCAAGGACAAATATCAGCCAGAGGAGATTGTATCAGAGCTGGTGTACAGCTTTCTTATTCCCGAGATTGAGAAGATGAGAGTCAGGCGAAGAGGTTTGTGTTCACACATTTGGATGATAGAAATACTAAAAAAGAAACTCTGATGTGAAAATGTCAGGTAACTTATTATTTTTTCCTTGTTTGTTGAACATTCATGTTGTGCTTCAAGTTCAATTGAAACAGCTGAGACACTTGGAGGCAGCTCGGAGGATCATTCATGGGTTTGAAGTCCCTCTGGAGATCCATCAACCCGAAACGCCGCAGGAGAGCGCCATTGATGAAGGAACGTCTGGGTCGACTGAGGAATCAAAGGCGAGCGAAGAGAGCCTAGAGAGCCTAGAGAGTCAAGAGTAGCAGAGAAAACAATCCTAGTAAAGAAAGTAAAGGTTCAAATTTAACTTGTGTAGCTTTAATATCTGATGCAAAACTTATTTTCAAGGTTTGTCTATCAGTCTGGTAGAACTCATTCTAGATGTTTTTGGAAAATAAGTCATGTAGAGGTTCATTGGATCTAAAGTGATTAATATGGAGCACAAACTTAATATTTAGTTTAATGAAAACATTATTTTCAGCCCAAGTTTTGATGGAAACCTTGACAAAAAGAACTGGCAGAAAATACTTACAGGTTTGAAGTTTTTGTGTGTTTGTCCATCTTAGCAATTAATAGCATGTTGGAAATTAAGTTGTTTGAGTTTGTGTTACTGAGTGAAACTTGGATTTAATTTTTGTTGTTTCTATCTTTCAAAATGTTCCTCCTACAGAAATCTAGTAATCTTAGGAACAATTTTCCTTTCTGGGTTTAAGCCCCCATGATTTGTACAAATTATATTTTAAGCCATTTTAAGTTTAGGTCCAAATAATGATTTATATTAAACTTACTGTAACTACAGATTATTCTGACAATAGGATGCTGGAGAACCAACACCACCAACACCAGATGAATGACTTTGATTGAAGTGGCCACTTATGTAAAAAGACTGTGCACCTGAAATCTTTTGTTTGTGTGAGACTCAGTGATGGGAGCTTGGACAGCTTCTTTTTAAAAAGTAGCTGCCACCCTGAGATCATGGTTATGTGGTTATTGGATAAATACAGATTTATGTAATGTAAATGAATCAGCTGTGAAAAATAGGGCGCCTCAATGTCTGCAGTGCAATAAGTAAACATAACTGAGGATTTCATAAACCTTTTCTTGAGGCTGTGCAAAATCCAGTTACTTTTGTTTTACAGGTAAGAACTTTGAAATAATTTTCTTTGAAAGTCAGTTCTTGATATAATAGTTATATAATACAGTCTCTTATCTTTGTCCACTCTCTGATAGGTGAGTGGTCAAACTCCAATTACTTAGACACACATATACAAACAGAGGACCTTATGTGGATTTCTATTAATTTTAATAACTGTATTTATGCCTAACCAAGTTTTCCTAAATCATTTTTACCCTACTTCTAACAGTAAATCACAGTAGAACTGCAAAAGAAAAGTGAGGATTGGGAAAAGTCCTCACTTTCCACAAATGACCTCTGTTGGTAAATATTGTGAATGAAGTTGTCTATATGTAAAATATACAAGTTCTATACAAATACACAGACTGATTATTTAGATCAAATACAGACATTGGATTACTGTGGATCACGTTACCCTAGATTATTCTGGTCTCGGACTAAACCCAACCTGTGTGTTGTAACTGTGCCTCCAATCTGGAGTTTGGTGTTTTAGCCACTAGAGGGCAGAATGTTTTCAGTCTGAGCTCAAAGTGGAAGAAATTGGACCAGGGAGAGAGAAACCTTTCAGATTCCGTCCTTAGAGGGAATAAAAAGTACATAAAATATTAAAATGGACACTATTTCTCAAACTAGATCGAAACTTTATATTTATTTATTTAAATATGTTTGCACGTTAAAAAGAAACATTTTGTTTTCTGCAGAAATTCAGTGAAGTATTTAATGCAATTTCATCTTTTTTACGCTTTTTTATATACTTATGGATATATATCGCATAAGTATATCGAAAAAGAATTAATCTGCAAAAATCTTGTATCTAAATATAAAAGTATTCAATAAATTAGAGTGTAACAGTTATTCATCTCTTTTCTGAATTTATTCATCCTGTACGTTTTTCCCCACTGAAATTAAACATTTGTAACATTTATGTTGTTTTTGAAAAAACAAACAAAACAAGACAAAAACTCTTGCTTATTTATTTATTGGACAATCGATAAAACATAAGATGCTAAATGCAATTCAGAATTCAAATTAAACAATATTTTAGAATATTGTAAACATGGGCTATAAAGTCATCAGATGTAACAATAAAACAAGTGTTAAATAGGTATTGATTAGACTCTGTTTACTGATTAATCTGGTTATCAGTAAGTCAGATACAGAAAAGAATCAATTTTTTTTCACAAAAAGTTATAATTTTTTTCATTCAAAAATGTATCAAATCTAGGATGTCTTATTATTTTGGTTTGGATTGATAAATACACCAATAATGAATTTCGAGTTTAATAAAGATCGGACCGGGGCAAAAGCTTAAATGGAGGGATCATCTCGGAAAACCTTCCTTATAATTTTTCATTCAAAGCTGTTACATTAATGAACAAAACTATAGCTGTTTTTACTTTGTCTTTTGTTTACGTTGGTATTATTTTATCTTTTTTTTTTAGATATATTCCATCTATGTGCAAGTTTAAAATGAAGCTTAAACGGAGAAAGACATTAGAGTGACTTTTACGTCAGCGCAGTTCCTCTGCTTCCGGTGAACGCAGAGTCGGTACCAAGGTAACAGGTGTAATCGGTGTGGGCGGGGTCAGACCTGTAACTCCGCCCTCCTGAGAAACAGTCGTAGGAACCAGCCCCGAACACAAGCTGCAAGGCGAGCAACAGGTCCGACCAGCAGGGAAAGACGAGCGGTGGCTCTCCCCTGCGGTGCGCCCAGGAAAAGGTCCTGAAGTCCTGCGTGGCACAGCCGCGGCGAGGCGAAGGTGTCAGGACCGGCGGCGGGCTGGACGTCTGGAAAATCTGGTGAGAAACATAATTGACCCCGATTGTCTGTTTGATTAAAGACCGACCTTTAACCAGGTGAGGGAAATCAGGGTTCATCTCGACATGAACGCCGCGCGCGCACACATATGTTTGTATTATTAAAGTCTCAAACATGAAGCAACTCTGCGCTTCTGAATCAGCTCTCTTACCCAAAACCGAGGCGTCTGTGTCTGAACACAGCAGCGCTTGTTTGGGTTGGTTATTCTCTGCGTTAGCGACCTATAGCAGGACAGCGAGATGTGTAAAGTGGGGCTGCAAGACGCGGGTCCAGCCTTGGCGGCTGCGTGTTTTCTTTGCTGCGGAGAAAAAAAAATGACAGGCGGAGGGGAAGAGGAGAGATCTTTATCTTATGTAGGCTTTTGTCAAGCAGTTTCACGTGGTGAGAGCTCACACTGCGAGAACATTGCGTTGGTGAATAAAAGACAGTCGTCTTCAGTGCTGCACGTATAGTTATGACTCATGCATTTTTCTTCTCAAAGCCAATCGCAGGTAGTTTTGCTCGTCTGATCTGCTGATAACTTTAATTGGCAACAGAGACCAATTCAGTTCAAAACATTAAGGCAAAACGTAGCAGAAATATGACAAATGAAAACCGATACAGGTGGTTGCAGGACAACATCTTCTCCACCAATTTAACTTTAGAAATATCTTATTTAAGGACATAAAATCCAAACTCAATCAAATGAGAGAGAACTTAAAAAACAACAGCGTCTCTGTCTCTAAATTAAGCTATTTGGCTACATATTAGTTTTATTCTGGGTATAACTGTGCAAAAGTATTTCTTATATGTTGTACATTTTTACTTACTCACAGGACTCTTTATTTTTGTTTGTACGTAATTTTTCCCTCCCAATTTGCTGCTGGTGCATCTAAATTTCCACACCATGGGAAAACTGGACTTCTTATTTGTTTTTCTTGGGCGAAAATCTCCCATAAACGGTTGGACTACAGTTTTGTCATCAGCATCTCTTAGAGTAAATACAATGTTACTATTTCTTAGTTTACTAAAAGCCCTCAGGCAAACCCCACATATTGTTCAAATCCGCACAGATGGATAAAGCTTACATCGCCTGGAAGTGGAGAGGACTTCACCCTCTCTTTGAGATTTATATAAATGATAATAATTTGCTCGTCTTTAAATGTAAAGCAGTCCTCCGCAGTCACTTTTTTAAAATCATTAATTACGGATCTCTCTAACTTAATTTACTTAATATATTGTCGTTAATTTTTGTCCGATCTCGCTTCGTCAGTGTGTTTCTTTGTGATTTGTGTCAAACGAGGAACCAAACAGACGTAATAATTGATTTTTTTCTTACTGTTCTTGATCTATTTATGTCACCACATGAAATGTAAATATACATATAAAAAAGCTATATGTATATTTAAATATGCCCATTCTTTTCAGCTGAGAATGAGCAGGGGGGCTGCTGATATCCATTTTGTCTATGAAGCTCTCAACAAGCCACATGAGGAGAACGAGGATGAAGACGAGGTGACAGAAGATGAGCCCAAAGCCTGCGGCGTGTGCGGCGATCTGGCGAAGGGTTACCACTTCAACGCTCTGACATGTGAAGGCTGTAAAGGCTTCTTTAGGTAAATTGTTGCTCACATCTTCCTGTTGTAACATTATCTGTGGAAATAATTCTAATGACACATTTTCTTCCTCGTAGTTCGGCTTCTGGTGATGAAGTGCTGCACTTAGGCACCTTAGGTGCCTTCAAGTATGTGTATGATTGTCAATTAACCTGTTGACCTATTCCTAGTGTGTCCCTTCTTTTGAGAAAACAATCTTGCCCTAATAAAAGCTTAAAAAGTTCCCATCTGTAACAGCCACCTGTACAACTCCTACCATTCTTGAATTGCGACGCGAATGCTGCACAGAATCATCCACAAACAGCCACTGGATTGCATTTCTGGCCTCTTCTGGTTGAAGCTCAAAAGGGGCAGAGTTCAGAAATCAGATGAAATGACCTGTGGAGTCAGGTCTTCATAGGGATTGTTCAGGGACAGGTGGGCCATGCACATGACCACTGACCCCTCTTAATGCATCCTAGCTACAACTCATGCATTGTTTATAGCCTGCTGTGATTGTTTTCCCTTTGGTAGCCTGGCCTTCCAAGTCCATCCAGGCACAGTTGTTTTTCTTTTAGATTTTCTTCGATTGATGCTGTTGTTGTGCTACAGAAAGACGCTACTCCTTTGCAGGAATTTGTTGCTTTTGTTTCGCCTTTGTGGAATGAACTTCTTTAAAGTACATCAGTGAGTTTTGCTATCTATAGCTGCAGGAACTTCAAAAGATAGGGAGACGGGAAGCTGTTGTTGCTGCTGCCAGCTTTCAAAATAGTAGTAATTATAGATTTTCAAAGCAATCATCAAAACTCAGGCACTTTAAAAGTCTATTTTAGTGGGTAAAATAAAATGAAGCATGTTTTTTTTATTATTATTATTGTTTTATCTCTTTAGATGTAATGTCAGCCACCTGTTATTAACTTAATACCATCTTTTGCTTTTCTATATATGATTTTTGAGAAAACAAAAGTAAAGTTATGTTACAGCCCTGACATGTAGTTATGATGGAACAGTCCAGTTTGTGGAAATAATTTAGACTTATTTTCTCATTCAATAGTTAAAGAGTATTGTTTATGATGCTCTCATTATGTTGGAAGGCTGTTTCTGATTTGTAATTTGTTAAAAATCAATTTAGACGTGCCATAAAGAGGTCAATGCAGCTCCGATGTCCGTTCCTGAATAAATGCATCATCACCAAAAACAACCGCCGCTCGTGTCAGGCCTGCCGCTTCAGAAAATGCCAGGCCATTGGGATGCGGAAAGACAGTGAGTAACATCCGGTTATAATATTTCTATTGGATGGTTAACACTTTCTTTCCTCAAAAAGTTAAAAGATGGTAAAAAGATGTCAAACTCTCTCTTGCACATCTTGGCCTTTAGATATGAAGATATTATCTTTAACATGATTTTGTCTTCATAAGGATGTAAAATTATTTAAGTCTAACATGAAGCATACAAAACCACAGCAGATTCTTACAGTCGTTGTTTAATAAATCAATAACTAAAATAGCAATGTGAGAAAAAATATAAGTACACAAGTTGTGCCATCCTCCTTCACCACATCATGCCCAACTTCCAATCTGGTTTAAGTCTGGAATTTGACTAGGCCAGTGCAACACCTTTGTTTGTTTCATTTTCAGCCATTTCCTTTGAGATTTGCAGCTGTTTGTTCTCTTGATGAACCAGATCAGGTCCAGCTGTAACTTGAACAGGACTGATGATGTTACAGTTGACTCAGAAACATTGTGGTGTGAAGAAGAAAATATTGGCTGCAAAATGAGTCCAAATTATTCTGTCTTCACCCTAGGATCGATCATTTCTTTGAGGTCTTTGTTCTAACACTGTGTTTGATTTGACACTGTGCCTGATGGCAAAAAATAATATAAAATAAAATAAAAATACACCTTGACTCATATGATCTCTGTCTTCCCAAACAAAACAAACTATTCTAGCCTTTTTCTGTCCCATTATTGCCTTTAGCTGTTTAATTTTTTTTGTTTGTTTATTTTCTGTGGACCCGACATTGATCATCTTTCTCACTATTGAATAATGGGCTTCCGATTGTCTGGAAGTGACTCTGTACCCTTTACTATGGTTCGTAGATCATTATAATTGCTGATGGTTTTCCTTCTTGATGTGAGGCTAATGCACATCTTCACACCTGAAGAAAACCCCCCTGCTTTTTCACCAGTAGTCATGTTCATTAGCGGTCTAAGTGCTTTAATTAGTCCAACACATGCTGATTTGTAGAAACAAATTAACGAAAATAAAAGGCGTAAGTAGTAAATACATTTTTGTTTCTTTGAATATATGATGCTTTCATCCATCTTGACTTCCGTTTGACATTTTACTGGGATTTGTAAATCAAAGTACAAGTTTCTGATATTGTTTCTTCGCTTCGTGTGCGGATGTGCAGTGGTCATGTCGGAGGAAGCGGTCTTGGAGCGAAGAATCCGAATAAAGAAGAAAAAGATGTGCAACCCGACCGCAGAGCTTTCGCCCCAACAGGAACACATGGTTGAGGAACTGCTCTGTGGCCTCCGCAATACATTTGACTCAACGTTTTCACGCTTCACCGGCTTTAGGGTGTGTGACTTGGCACGTGCGCTTAATGTTGGTCATTGTTCTCACTATTGTTTGAATTGTCATCTTTTTTTTTTACCAGCCCATGGACAGAGATATGTTGACAGAGAACCAGCAGTACAGACCCCAGACCAGCAGCCTGAAGAAGAGATGGTGTACAGCTGAAAGACATGGAGATGATCTTTTAAAGTTCCCTCGCCCTTGCTCCCTTTCCTCCGCCTCCTCCCCATCTCTCTCTTCCTCTTCCACCCGCTTTGTCCTCCCCGGTTCCTCTGAAAAAGGTGAGGACATCGTTGGAGACAAAAACAGCAGCGTTTACACTAACCTCCCGCATCTGGCTGACCTCACGACCTACATGATTCAGGACATCATCCGCTTCTCCAAAAGCCTTCAGGACTTCCGGTAAACATGTCCATGTTCAGAAAGGAATAAATTAGCTTACCAGAACAGTTTTCCGACACCTTGAACTTGAAATGATCAAGAAACTTTGATCTATTGAAAAATAGTTTGCAAATATCTTATTTGATAGCTGCAGCACACAACAAATAACCACCGTGTATTTCCCTGCTAAGTAAGAAATTTCTGCAGATTTGCCTCGTTTCCACGTAGTTCTGTGATGCTCTGCGCCTATTTCAGTAGTTGTAGATTTTAGTACTGCAAGTTGCCCTTAAAATCTAAAAGCAGTTGCTAGCTTTTCAGCGTTTTCTCATAAGAAAGCCTCAGTGGTGTTTCCCCTTGCTGAAACAGAGAAAGCCAGATTTTAGCCAAAAGTAAACAGAAATGATTTCCTTGTTGTTGAAGATGAATGTTTACCTTTTTATACAGAGAAATGAACCACATGAGACCTCACTGATCATTATGGCTACCTGAGGGTTCAAAGGTCATGATCATCCTCCTGTGGTTTCAGTTTCTGTTTACACAGAGGCATTTCATACGACTGCTTACAGTTTCTCCTCAACATTCTTCTCTATAGATTGATAGAGAGCATCTGCGAACATCGGTTGCAGATTTTCACCTGATTCTGGATTGCATTTACGTCTAGACTTTAATTAGGACATTCTAACACATGAATCCAACCATTAAATTGTGCATCCGACTGGGTATTTGGGATTGTTGTTGTGCTGGGTCCACCTTCAGGCCTTTGTGGCGTCTGACAAGAAATTCTTGGATTTACCTTCATTTTTCTCCACCATCAACTTTGACCTATTTGCTCGACTCAGCTGCAGCAATGTTTCCACGCCCTCCACATGCTGCCACCACAATGTTTCCACAGCAAAGCTTCATGTGAAAAATGGTATAATGAGGTCGATGTGCTAGTTTTCTGCCACATTCAGGGGCTTATCTTCATACTACAAATTTTGCATGTAGGCCAAAAACATGTATTTTTCCTCTGTTCTTATCAGAGAACTGTCTTGCATACGTTTGCAGTGTCCTTCAAGGTTTTGTGGCAAACTCAAAATGAGACTTATTGTTCTTCTTGCCATTGAACAGTCATGTCTTGGTAGGTTTGCTCTTATGTTCAGATGATTGATTGAACAGAGAAAGTGGGAATGGTTGGAACTTTCTTAGAAATAAATAAAAAATTAACATTTTAAAAGATTTAAAGTCTTCTTCATAAAATTTCAATAAATTATAGTAAGATGTCTGTTTGCAAAAGAAAAAAAAAAAATCCAAGTGTGCAAATATGTGCACAAGCCAAAACTTTAATTTTCTGTTCCCGCCATGTTGCATAAAGCGTTTGTGAGAACTGAGGTTTGTGTTCGTCTCTCCTGCAGGTCACTAAGCATTGATGACCAGATATCTCTACTGAAAGGAGCCACGTTTGAAATAATGCAGATTCGCTTCAACATGGTGTTCAACACTACGACAAGCAACTGGGAATGTGGCTGCATTACATACTGCATACACGACGCAATGCGAGGTGGGATCAACTAATGATTTAATTTGCTATGTAACATGTTCCTGCTTCCAGTCGCCTCGGTTGCGAATATTTCCTGAATTTCCTCCTCATTTTGCAGTATGCAGCATCTGCTGTTCGATGGCTGGTCAGGTTGGCTTCTAGTTGATGTCGTCTACCTGCTCCAGCAAACATGACTGAAATGAGAAATCATTTCAGCAAAAAGCAAAGCATACAAACAGTTTGACGCTAACTAAGAAAAGTAGCTTGCAAAAAAAAAAGAAAAACGTTTTAAGAATCCACACTGTTTAAGTGCTCAAATCAGTTCAAAACATGTCAAAAGCTTCTGATTTTACAGAGGCGGCAGCTATGACACAACACTTAATTACTCTTTGTGTCAAGTGAATGAGTCAACCAGAATCTTTTTTTTTTTGATCAGATAAGAGAACATTTGGGGGAAATCTGTGTGGTGTTTGTGCTAGTTTTTTCTTGCCTTTCAGCACTTTGCCATTGCATATAAAACCTGCAAAATGCTTGTCTACTCTTTAGTATCCTGCACGATCTGTGTGGCAACGCAGACATGTGTGCACAAGCACTCTCTGCTACTTTGTCTCTTGGTTGTGGAATATCGTGACTCCTGGGGAGGGAAACTTCAGCAGAATGCAGTCAAACTGGACCGGTCGCTTTTGTGTTGGTGCCAAATGGAGCTCATATTCACATCTTTTTGCACGCAAACGGTCTTGCAGTAGATGGTTGTTTGATATTCTCTGTTGTCTGGAGATAAAAAAGATTGCGTGTGCAGCTGCACAGAGAATCCTAAATGATGTAGGACACTGGCCACTGGGGATTTGTTGATTAGTTATATGAGTTACTGTCCAAGACTCTTGCATTGCTTTGCAAAACTTAAAATCTAAAATAAAATAAAAAAATATGTTGCAAAAATAGACATTAATTGAAGGAAACCCAGAATTTTAAGGCACTTTATAGGTGCTGATATGTGGTAAACTTGGAGCATTGGTCACTGCTGTATGTTAAAGACAAATGGTAAAACACAAATTTCTTTTTTTCCATTTGTAGGCTGAAGTTGTTTAATCACTGGGACATTTTTTGGATGACCTTTAAGTAACTATCAAGAATAATCACTCTGTTTGAATAACAGGAAATAAAAAAAAATCTACACCACAAAGTACTTCTTTCAGTTAAATAAAAGCACCTGAAAGCCCATTGAAACTCGCTAATTTGTCTGCCTTTGGTAACTTCTGCTGAATAAGTTCAGATATTTCAGAAACATTAGAATTGGAAGATAAATCGTTTTTAAAAATCTCTTCTAATGAACCTTAGAGAAATGTTCACATCTTGATTTATTTATTTTTTTATTTTCTAGATTTTGTCATACTAAAACCAGATATCTTTGGTTGGATGTAATATTTCAAATGTGATGGCATCCTGCATGTTCTAATTCTTTTTGGTTCAACTTTTTAGTTCTTGGTTCAACTCACCTGAATCAAACGGCAGTCTCTGCAAAACATGATATGTTTTGCAGATCAAAATACCTCTGCAAAACGTTTTGCAGAGGTATTTTGATTTTAAATCAGCTGTGCAACTGTCTAAGAAACAGAGGCAACAATATCTTAAAAAATAAAAACTTTTCTACAGAGCTTTAAAGTAAAAGAAAAAAAAGAATTTTAAAATTCTTTGGTTACTTTCTAGGGAATATTTGGGGTTCTTATGATAGACAATATTGCTCTAAATAAAAATAAAAAAATAGATTTTTTCATAACCACATCATTTCATACATCTTTACAAAGCATGTCAATTATTATTTTGTTTTTGCTCGATTATATTTCATGTTTTCATGCAGTTCATCTGTGCCAGTCCATGCGTCTCGTTGTCGTTCACTGACCTGTTTTTTTCCCTCCCGTCTCCCAGGGGGTTTTCAGCCGCTCCTGCTTGAGCCCCTCTTCAAATTTCACCACAATCTGCGCAAACTGGACCTGCAGGAGGAGGAGTACGCCCTCATCCAGGCCATCTCGCTGTTTTCTCCAGGTAGCGGCAGAACTTCCACTCGAATCAATCATTGATGAGCCCTGTAAATATTTAGACCTTACAAACATCTAGGTGCGCTTGCAGCCCCATAGATGAACGTGAAAATATATTTTTAGATTTTTTTCCCACTAAAATTCAATCCACTAGATCGTCCTGGAGTGCAGCATCACGCCGTCATCGATAGAGTTCAAGAGAACTTGGCAGAAACGCTAAAAACCTGGATTGACTGCAAGAAAAAAGGCCCTAAGAAGCAGTGAGTGAAAACCCGCCGTCAGCCCATCCGCTGTGGAACCTCTTCACATGTTTGCAAAAGTCTGCAAACTTTTCAAAAAAAATGATCGGAGAGAGAACGATGACGGAGGAGTACAGCAAGCAGATTCTGCAGATCCAAGACGTGCAGCCTGACACCATCTCTCCGCTCATCATGGAGGTGGTCAGTAAAGACCCCAGCAACAACACCTGAGGCCCAAAACTGGCCAGTTCCAGCATTCCAGCTGAATGTGCCCTTTGATTCGCTGCTATGTAAGGCACACATGAAATGTGATGAAGCCATCTGCTTTTTTTTACACAATTTCAAAGCATTCGCTGGCAGAAGTGAGCTTTACAGATTCACTGATTTGCTAGTTTCAGGTGCTTTTGTTGTGGCATTGTGATGTTTACGATGATTTTCCCTTCATTCAAAATGGATTCTGCTCAGGAAGCAAAGGGAAACCTGAAAACATTTACACCGTTTCACTTGATACCTCAGGTTGTGTTCAGTTTTGTGTTTGTTGTGCTATGTAAAACAGACGTGTAACACTTATTGTAAATAGAACTGAATAGTAAAGGTGCTTTTTGAAATCTTTCATTATGGAGCCTGATTAAGATGTGTTCATTTATCTTAAGGTTCAGAAAAACCTCAAAAATCATCTTTCACATGAAAAAAAATGCAAGAAGATTTCTGTGCATTTTTTTTTCAGGACATTGATTTGTTTAAGCCACAATAAGACAATTAAAATGTTATTTAAAGGTTAATGAATGAATAATAAGAAGTAATAATCAGGACATTAGTGATATGTATTATTAATCACACTGAGATTTGTTGACTAATTGAATTGGTCAAAGAAAGCAGAAAGTAAAAATGCCACGCTGCTTCTACTCTACTGATGGAAAAGACAGACCTTAACCAGCGGGTAGGTTAAGGTATTAAAGTACTAAGTGGACAGTTCAGAAAAATGAATTTTAAATTCAGGGATATTCAACACAACCAAAAAGGTTTGATTAAAAGCAAAAAGGCACAAAATGTCTCTGGGATTCAAGGGACATTGAAACAAAACGACTTGCTTTCTCCATGTATTGATTGATTTTTCATGTGCCTTGGTATAAAGCTGTGGAATTTGTTCATGCCTTCTCCTGGCTGATTCCTTTGCAAACCTATTTCAAATTCACTTAAACGTACTTTCTAGTTAATTAGACTTATGATGTCTGAGGACAATGGGAAAAAAAACAGTGACTGAGTTCTTTAACTCCATCAAAAGGTTCTTGAATTAAGTAACAGATGTTTGTGTTTCAGTTGAATTGTTCATGACATATCAGACATTAAAGGTTCCAGTTTGAAGCTTTCCAATCAGGTCGACTGTAGGTGGCAGCAGACCTTCTTTAGACTCTTAGATCACACTTTCTGGAAGGGTTCTCCCATAGCTGCCTTAAATGCTCCCTCTTATTGTAAAATAATTCAGATTATCCTATTCATTTTACTGGCTGTGCCAGAAACACACAGCTAACACTTAAAGGAAAACCAGGCAGACAAATTCCTTGATCATTTCCAGGCTATCCTACTCTTTATTTGTTGCAAATTACAGTACCAGGGAACTATTCCTCGGAGCACGCAGGGGGAATATTTACAGAGGCGCAACATTTAGCATACCTTCACAGAAACAAAAGGAAAAATCAAAACAAAAAAATATTTCAGTTACAAACAGAGGCATTCAAGTAGTAGTACTGTTATACAGGATGTATTTGTTGTATTTTTTTCTTTTACTTTGTTTCTGTCTCTTTAACCCCAGTTAGCATATGACCAGTATATATGCTAGTATGACTTATTATACTAGTAGATATACTTTGTTTTCCCCCCCTGTTTTTGGTAGCCATTTTGCTTTTATTGAACTAGGCGTCAAGGGTTGGGGTACAGTGGTCAAACCTTCTGGTGGAGGGAAGCGACACGTTCATGAATGCAAAATTACAGCAAGCAGGAGACGTGGGAGATAGGCTACATGACTCAACCACCTCACTCTCCCCTTAGGTGCTACTGAGTCCTACCCCAACCCTCCCTGTCTATGTTTCAAGATATGCAGCCCAGAGACAACAGAGATATCCAGACAGAGGGGAGGAGAAAAAGAACAGAATTATTGCCTCTGAGGATGGCTCATCACAACTACGTCAACGTTCGACTTTGGTAACAGAACCAACACTGTGAGCGATACTGAATCTCTACTGTAGTCTATATTTACAGTATGTGAGGCCTCCTGCAGCCTCATCAGTCCATGTCCGTGATAAAACATCTATCAAAATAAACACCTGTCTATATTGTATCTTCAGCTGAGGGGTGGCGGGGGGGAACCTTACAATTAATGTCTGTATAATCCACGAAGTGTGCGATGAAGGACGGGAGGGAGGAGGAGGTGGTGGAGGCTCGTGTGGTGGGACGTTCGACAGCACCGAGGGGGACGGGGGAGTCACAACATCCAGGGACGGGGGTGATGGAGGAAACAAGGCGAAGGTGTATGAAAGCAAAGGCACTCCAAACTATAGTTACACTATACATGACTAGTTCTTGTTACAATAATACAGCTGTCATCTACTGTACTGTACAGGTAAGATTGAACATATGGCTGGATAAAGCTGATCATCGTCATCTAACAATATCCATAAACAATATCAGTTCAGCCCTGATTCTTTTTTTTTCTCCTTTTCCAACTCTTTGTTTTCGCTCATAAACAGTACATGGGTCAGCGTATATACATACCTTAAACACAACATGGGAAAAAAAAATAATAATCGTAACATAAAAAACAAGATACAAGACATACAAGTCAGAATTTTGGTGAGGAGCATTTATACTGTATATACAAACTGTTTTTTTTTTTTTTTTTTTTTTTTCAACATAGTGAGTGTTCTTGGTAAACACATCTGGACTGTACCAAGCAGCTCTTTATGCACTGTGCTGTGAGGACGAACGGTGGTTCACACTTTAAGGAGCGCGCTCGCTGAAAAACAAACAAACAAAAAAAAAACCTCTGATCATCTGGAAGAGAGAGGCGGTTGCTGACAGGAGAACTGGTTCGTTGAGACGCTGCACCGTCGCGGAGTCCAAGGCAAAAAGGAATAAAGCAGGTGCTCTAAATCCATCTACGGCCTTTAATACAAGCAACACAGGAGAGAAGCGAAGCTGCTGCTGCTGCTGCTGGACTCCAACGCTTCCAGGAAGAACAGGAGCAACAAACAAAACATCAACTTATCCAGGTCCGTCTTTAGGCAGCGGCAAATATTGCCGCTACGCTGCCAGATATGAGCTCACCATAAATGATCTCTGAACCATTGTAGTTATTATACATTTATCTATATATACTTTTTATACAGAAAGAAAAGTATTATATAAACTGTGTGTATGCTTGTTTGTACTGTATGTATATATTATACAAGCACACAGGAAGCAGATACACGTCACATCCGTCGTCGCACACCCCTCCCCCACCAGAATGCTGCCCAGGAGTAGAAAAAAAAAATTAAAAACAATGAGTAAAACGGGCTGCTAGAATTAAAAGCCCCAGGCGAAAGAAATAAACCACCCGATCTGCAGAGCTTCTTCCAGTGGACGTCATCATGCATCAACGTGTGCGAGAGGATGTGAGTGTGTCTGAGTGTGTGTGTAATACGCGTGCATGAGCCTCATGCCTTGTCTGCGGAGGTGAAAGGTCGTGGCGGGCCCCCCTCTCCAGTTGGTCCTTCTGTACTTGGGTCATGCACTACAGGAGAAACCAGAGGAGGAGGGGGTGGATGCAGAGATGTGGTATGATAACGAGGGAAGGGCAGTCAGGAGGCGACCAGGGGCAGCAAAGGACTTTTTTTTTTTTTACAGATTGTCCTCATACAAATGTTAGGAGGCTGCCATCGAGTATACGTGTTTAGTATACTTGTAGTCGGCAGCGCTTCTGCTCCTATGATTCCCTATCAAAGGGAGCATAGGGGGGTGGAGGACAGTTCAGACAGCAAGGGGTCAGAGGTGGAGGTCAGGGTGGATGGGTTCATGTGGTCGTGTCGCCGCTGAGCCCCGGGCCGCTGCAGCGTCGCCGCGCTGCCGCCAGGAGCAGAGCTGATCGCAGCTCACCCCCTGGCCAGGGGGGCGCAATGGAGAGAGGGCTGTGGGCCGGGGGCTGTGGGCCGGGGGCTGAGGCCGGGCGGAGGGCGAGTGGGGTCTGCAGGCTCAAGAGGTGGAGGTGGCGTTGGAGGCGGAGGCAGAGGCGGTGATGGTGTTGGGACCTCGATCTGTGTTGCTGCCATCTGTGGGCAGGGAGGAAAAAAGTGAATGTTAGCTGAGAGAAACTGATTAAAAGAAAAAAACAAAAAAAAAACTGTAGAAATTTGAGTTCTGTTTTTTCTATGCAAAATTGCTTCTTGGAGTTAAAACATATTTTGAAACACCTATCAAAGCTGAACATCTAATTCCTCTAGAGTCATCAATTGTCAACCACAGTCGACACAAATCTACTTAACTTACAGGAGCATTTTGATAAATCATTGAAATTTTCATGTCAGTAATTCAATAGAGAGGGAAGTGAGTGCTTCCAAGTCGCTAATGGTGAAGAAAGTCTGCTGAAAGAGGTGCGGCTCTGACCTGTGGTGGCAGACACGTTGGTTGGTGTCGAGGCGACAGCCTGGTTGCGGGCGTGGGCAGGGATGAGTATGGAGGCCAGAGAGGGATTACTAGATAGCTCTGAAAGAAAATGAACAGAAGTTATCGGGTCATGCTGCTGCACAGTTTCACTAAACCCTGGAGAGACACTCAGATCTGTCAAAAATGAACATTTCCAGGAGCTGTGCGTGGAAACACGGGATTAACTGGAGGAAAAGCTGAATGCGGAAGAATCAGGAACTAGGAAAGCTTCCGCACAGGGAGGCAGGGTGTGTTCAAACCGAAGCAGATAAAGTAAAAACAAACATGGGAATGAAATAAAACTATATAAAGGGTCAAATTTCTTTCTTTCTCTGTGAGCAGCTT